TGAACCAACAAAATTTTCAAAATATTCGTTGGTTACCTGAGCGAAGATTATTTCAAAAATAAGGTTTAATTAGTTTTAATAGCTCTATAGTCGAAGCTCAATTGAACCTGCTAAATTTTCAAAATATTCGTTGGTTACCAGAGCGAACTTATTTCAAAAATAAGGTTTAACTAGTTTTAATAGCTCTATAGTCGAAGCTCAATTGAACCTAATAAATTTTCAAAATATTCGTTGGTTACCAGAGCGAACTTATTTCAAAAATAAGATTTAATTAGTTTTAATAGCTCTATAGTCGAAGCTCAATTGAACCTACTAAATTTTCAAAATATTCGTTGGTTACCAGAGCGAACTTATTTCAAAAATAAGGTTTAACTAGTTTTAATAGCTCTAAAGTCGTAGCTCAATTGAACCTACTAAATTTTCAAAATATTCGTTGGTTACCAGAGCGAACTTATTTCAAAAATAAGGTTTAACTAGTTTTAATAGCTCTATAGTCGAAGCTCAATTGAACCTAATAAATTTTCAAAATATTCGTTGGTTACCAGAGCGAACTTATTTCAAAAATAAGGTTTAATTAGTTTTAATAGCTCTATAGTCGAAGCTCAATTGAACCTACTAAATTTTCAAAATATTCGTTGGTTACCAGAGCGAACTTATTTCAAAAATAAGGTTTAACTAGTTTTAATAGCTCTAAAGTCGTAGCTCAATTGAACCTACTAAATTTTCAAAATATTCGTTGGTTACCATACGAACTTTATTTCAAAAATAATGTTTAACTAGTTTTAATAGCTCTATAGTCGTAGCTCAATTGAACCAACAAAATTTTCAAAATATTCGTTGGTTACCTGAGCGAACTTTATTTCAAAAATAAGGTTTAACTAGTTTTAATAGCTCTATAGTCGTAGCTCAATTTAACCTACTAAATTTTCAAAATATTCGTTGGTTACCTGAGCGAACTTTATTTCAAAAATGAGGTTTAACTAGTTTTAATAGCTCTATAGTCGTAGCTCAATTGAACCTACTAAATTTTCAAAATATTCGTTGGTTACCATAGCGAACTTATTTCAAAAATAAGGTTTAACTAGTTTTAATAGCTCTATAGTCGAAGCTCAATTGAACCTACTAAATTTTCAAAATATTCGTTGGTTACCAGAGCGAACTTATTTCAAAAATAAGGTTTAACTAGTTTTAATAGCTCTATAGTCGAAGCTCAATTGAACCTACTAAATTTTCAAAATATTCGTTGGTTACCAGAGCGAACTTTATTTCAAAAATAAGGTTTAACTAGTTTTAATAGCTCTATAGTCGTAGCTCAATTGAACCTACTAAATTTTCAAAATATTCGTTGGTTACCTGAGCGAACTTTATTTCAAAAATAAGGTTTAACTAGTTTTAATAGCTCTATAGTCGTAGCTCAATTGAACCTACTAAATTTTCAAAATATTCGTTGGTTACCAGAGCGAACTTATTTCAAAAATAAGGTTTAACTAGTTTTAATGGCTCTATAGTCGAAGCTCAATTGAACCTACTAAATTTTCAAAATATTCGTTGGTTACCAGACCGAACTTATTTAAAAAATAAGGTTTAACTAGTTTAAATAGCTCTAAAGTCGTAGCTCAATTGAACCTACTAAATTTTCAAAATATTCGTTGGTTACCTGAGCGAACTTTATTTCAAAAATAAGGTTTAACTAGTTTTAATAGCTCTAAAGTCGTAGCTCAATTGAACCTACTAAATTTTCAAAATATTCGTTGGTTACCAGAGCGAACTTATTTCAAAAATAAGGTTTAACTAGTTTTAATAGCTCTATAGTCGAAGCTCAATTGAACCTACTAAATTTTCAAAATATTCGTTGGTTAACAGAGCGAACAGTATTTCAAAAATAAGGTTGAACTAGTTTTAATAGCTCTATAGTCGTAGCTCAATTGAACCTACTAAATTTTCAAAATATTCGTTGGTTACCATACGAACTTTATTTCAAAAATAAGGTTTAACTAGTTTTAATAGCTCTATAGTCGTAGCTCAATTGAACCAACAAAATTTTCAAAATATTCGTTGGTTACCTGAGCGAACTTTATTTCAAAAATAAGGTTTAACTAGTTTTAATAGCTCTATAGTCGTAGCTCAATTTAACCTACTAAATTTTCAAAATATTCGTTGGTTACCTGAGCGAACTTTATTTCAAAAATAAGGTTTAACTAGTTTTAATAGCTCTATAGTCGAAGCTCAATTGAACCTACTAAATTTTCAAAATATTCGTTGGTTACCAGAGCGAACTTTATTTCAAAAATAAGGTTTAACTAGTTTTAATAGCTCTATAGTCGTAGCTCAATTGAACCTACTAAATTTTCAAAATATTCGTTGGTTACCTGAGCGAACTTATTTCAAAAATAAGGTTTAACTAGTTTTAATAGCTCTATAGTCGAAGCTCAATTGAACCTACTAAATTTTCAAAATATTCGTTGGTTACCAGACCGAACTTATTTAAAAAATAAGGTTTAACTAGTTTTAATAGCTCTAAAGTCGTAGCTCAGTTGAACCTACTAAATTTTCAAAATATTCGTTGGTTACCTGAGCGAACTTTATTTCAAAAATAAGGTTTAACTAGTTTTAATAGCTCTAAAGTCGTAGCTCAATTGAACCTACTAAATTTTCAAAATATTCGTTGGTTACCAGAGCGAACTTATTTCAAAAATAAGGTTTAACTAGTTTTAATAGCTCTATAGTCGAAGCTCAATTGAACCTACTAAATTTTCAAAATATTCGTTGGTTAACAGAGCGAACAGTATTTCAAAAATAAGGTTTAACTAGTTTTAATAGCTCTATAGTCGTAGCTCAATTGAACCTACTAAATTTTCAAAATATTCGTTGGTTACCAGAGCGAACCTATTTCAAAAATAAGGTTTAACAAGTTTTAATAGCTCTATAGTCGTATCTCAATTGAACCTACTAAATTTTCAAAATATTCGTTGGTTACCAGAGCGAAATTTATTTAAAAAATAAGGTTTAACTAGTTTTAATAGCTCTATAGTCGTAGCTCAATTGAACCTACTAAATTTTCAAAATATTCGTTGGTTACCAGAGCGAACTTATTTCAAAAATAAGGTTTAACAAGTTTTAATAGCTCTATAGTCGTAGCTCAATTGAACCTACTAAATTTTCAAAATATTCGTTGGTTACCTGAGCGAACTTTATTTCAAAAATAAGGTTTAACTAGTTTTAATAGCTCTATAGTCGTAGCCAGCAATTTTTAGTCCCTTTGGAGGTAAGTAAAAAAAAAGGGAATAAAAATCTATGAGTGCAGATTATAACTAACAGTCTTTATCGCAGATGCTGCCGGAGATTCAAGTTTGGAGGATTACCTCATGAGACGATGAGACACACGCTCTCTCACTGGAAAACATAACCAAACAAGAACTCAGTGTAGATGAAGAGGCGGAGGAGGAGCAGTCCGAGCGCGAAGGTATAAAAATATTTATATGTTCTTTAATTTATATTACAATGTTTAACTTTATTCTTTAATGGTTTTTTTTTTTTTTTTTTGACAAAAAAAGGGATGTGCTAAGATTATTTTTACACATTACATAAAATTTCATTAATTTTGCTTACAGGAGCAGGGCAAGAAAATCAACCAAGCAGCAAGCACAGTCACATTTGGTGTAATTTATGCTGTTGAAACGCCATGATGACGTGTGGGTAGGTAATAAAGTGAACCCTTGTTAATATTTAATTTAAACTATTTTTTCGCAGACCAAATTCTCTCTGCACATGTTTATCAAAACCACAGACAAATAATTTTTAATAAGCCTGGCTTCACTGCAAGGCGATCCTGAAAAATTGCTTAAGGGGCTCGGATGCGTGGCCTATGGAGCCAGAGTTCTGTCTAGTTCAGTGTACTTGGGACGTGTTCCTGGAGTTGACGTTATGGACAGCAGAGTGGCATTCGCCCTTATAGTTGAGAAAAGAATATGATAATATTTCCGCTTTATTTACAACACTTAGATTGCTGCGTCAGTTATGCACTTGAACTGGGAGGAAATGTTCTTACATACAGACGTGGTCACCGCCTCCTGACCGATCTCTGCTCACAAGCCAAACGATTTGCAGGCAACAGAATGGGCAGGTAAAACAGTTCAACATTTTTGTTAAAATTTGCATTTACTGTGATTTTCTTTAGGCGTCATGCTTTGGATAACTTGGAGGGAAACAACCATCAGCGACCTCGAACGGGCTCAAGACCGTTTGACCCAGAGGGGCAGTTGCCCCTAATGGTTTTCAATTTATTAACACGAAAGTTCACCCGAGACCGTTCGAGGTCGCTCGAGACCGTCCGAGGTCGCTCGAGACCGTCCGAGGTCGCCCGAGACCGTCCGAGGTCGCCCGAGACCGTCCGAGGTCGCCCGAGACCGTCCGAGGTCGCCCGAGACCGTCCGAAGTCGCCCGAGACCGTCCGAGGTCGCTCGAGACCGTCCGAGGTCGCCCGAGACCGGCGAGGTCGATGGACACCTCCGAGGCCGTTCGAGACCGGCCGAGGTCGCCCGAGACCGTTTGAGGTCGTTCGAGACCGAGGGGGCAACCGTTGCCCCTAAACATTGACCATGTAAAAATATGAGGTCGTTCGAGACCGTCGGAGGTCGTACTCGAGGTCGTTCGAGACCATGGTCTCGAGCGACCTCGAGTACGACCTCCAACGGTCTCGTTTTTGACAAGGGTATTTGAATTTCGATATATCATCGAAGGTCAAGCCACTCAAGCCCTTGGGTGGAGGTCTTTTTGGTGCCTCTAGTTTGTCAATAAGGTGTGGTGCTGAGTCTTCTTGTTTCACAGGAAATTGTAGTGGGATCGAATTAAAAATCTAACGTGCCATTTTCCCTCCCATGTTCACCAATCGCTAAAAATGATGTGGCCCATTTTTGCTCAATATTTTAGAGAGCTGGAGTAAAAATTAATTGTTGGTATGACTAGATGGAAATTGAAGGAAACAATTTTTTCATATTGCATTTAAATATAAAATTGTATAATTTATTTTGACAATATTAATAATTGGCCAACTAATGCTTTTCGGCCTATAACTCAGTAGCAGCCAGCAAACTCAAAAAAAAAGTAATTTTACAGACAGTTCATCAAGAAATATAACGCCTGGCAAATTTAAAAGCAGGAATGAAATAAATACAAATCTTTGGATCAGAATTTGACACAAACAGGGCCGGACTGGCCAAACGGGTGAGCGGGCCTGGGCCTGAAGGGCTCCGACCTTTTTCAACAATCCCAAGTCCGCGTGGAGCAGGCACACATGAAAAATGAAGAGCTACAGAAAAAAGTCTTCGGACTTGAGGTTAAGTTCGGAAGTCGTCTGGTGTAGACTTATCAGCAGATTCATATAGGAATTTTCTGCGCTGCTGTAGGTGCCCAAACTGTTTCGAACATCGATAAATGCCTTAAAGAAGCTTGGTAGGCGCTTCCCGAGCACACGCAGACCCTTTTGACCAGGGAAACGTCGAGCGACGCATCTTGGACACAGGGTCGATCGTTTCCAATGTGAACTCGACCTTTCCCGATACACACACAAATATAAGTTCAATTTTGGGGAGAAAAATTTATAATTACCTCGACAAACTACGTTTCTTCTTTTCTTTGCATATTTTGGAAATGAAGTTGAGGACAAATTTATGGTTGAGCTCGACCTCAGGTCCCTTAAACAGCTTCACCCAACTTAGAAATTGGAACTGTAAAATTTTCAAAACGCTACACTGACAATCATTCTTTTCAAAACTTTTACTTACGGCAAATGCATAAAACAACTCGAGCATTAAGCTCTTGGCTTTGAGAATCACCACGAACTATAAGAGTCGACACTGCCAGTTTGGCTCTGCCAATAAGCGCTACGGTGAGTCCATAGGGCGCAGCTTCTTCAGTTTCAGCAGTGTCAAAGACATGTTTGACTCGTAGAAGGTTTCCAACAATCCCGTTGGCCAACTTAGCCTAATAATAGAATTATTTTCAACATTCAGAGGACAAATTTGAATTTAAATTACCTTCTTTTCTTTCGAGGGTAACTCAATTTCCCGAAACAAACACTTTGGTTTAGTGCTGTGGGTAGCATTTGACCGACGGTCAAGGGTAATTTCTGGCATGTTTTTTTCTGCAACAAAATTATGGCAGATGATGAATAAAATAAATTATTATCTTAAATAAAATTTGTTATTTTATTCGATTCTGATAAAATTAATTTAACTTAAGAACTAGATTTATAAAATCAAGTTCCACGAATCACTACTTATATAATCATGAGACATACGCTTGAATCAAAACTTTGTACTGTAATTTTCATCTTAATCAATGGGGTCTTGATATTGAGAAATAATCCGAAACAGAAGCGCACGCATTATGGCTCAATAAGTACCGCTTTTGATTGGCTGTTGGTTTTCCATGGCGCAAATTTCAAATTTTCACCAGCGTGTGAAAGTGACACGATCAAATAAAATAATTGAAAAAGCATTAATTTGTACGAATAATAGCAAAAATCACATATCTGGGACCAGTTCATGAGTGCGGCGCCTTTTCCGAGTGGTCGGCTGAACGAGAAAATTCCCCATTTGCCTCAATTCGTTGAGACGGTAGCGATTCATGAAAATTTTCGCCTTTCTCGCCATTTTCTTTCTTCCAAGGACTTGTTGGGCACAAGGGCAGTTGAGTGTGATAAGAGAAAGAGAGAGTGTTGGTGGGAGCGCATTCCAATGCCGCTGCATTGGGCAGGTAGCGCTCCCTCCCAACTCTCCCTCATTTCCTTTTCCCTCGCCGGCTGCCCAAGCGCTGGCAACTCCAGAAACATCCTCGCTGGAGGAAAAATGGCGAATCGGGCAAAAATATCAGCAATCTACCCATATCTCACCGAATTAAGGCGAATAATGGATTTTCTCACCGCGCCGACCACTCGAAAGTGTCGTCACTGCACTCATCGACTCGCCTCAGGTAGGTGAATTTTTTCGTTATAAATTTGATTTTTTTTTAAAGAAATTGCCTCTAAAATTATGTCTCTCGTTTGTCGTAAAATAAATTGCCACTCCCCTTCCGGTACTAGAAGCGGACGCATCTGACCACTATTCGGATTGAGACCCCATTGATCTTAATTAAGATTTCAAAATTAATTAATACCTTCATCCGACTCTTTTTCGGCAGTATTTGAGTTCAGAACCATTGTTCCTAATGACTGAAAGCGGCGGCTTTCGGAGTTCCTCTCGGCTTGAGTCAGATTGATCATTCCTGATCCAGCTGCCGTAGAAGTTGTAGCCTGTTTTTATTGTGGAGACAAATTTTAAATAAAAATTGCTATTTTTCGCATTGGAAATATGTACCTGTCCGGACGCTCTCTGTGCCTAACTTAGTCGTCCAGCGCCATCTCTCTGCTCGCCTGGACAATCCTTGGGAATGGACTCGGAAAGAGTATCTTCCTTGTGCGGTATCGGATTATCTAGGTTAACTCGGACTGCTTTGCGGGCAGATATATATGGCATTATTTTTTTTAACGGGACCCACTTTTGGCATGGGGTCGGCGGATCTTGTTGAAAATTGGTAGTTTGGTTGCCCTTAGGGTGCAGACAAATAGTTTAGAAGGATTTTTGAAAATTCTCAAAATTGCCTATTTTACAGGGGCTCAAAGTTGGGGATTTTTAAAAAAGGTGTTTTCGAAAATCAAAAATATCTCAGCTCCTGCTGCAGATAGCGCATGTGTGTATATAAACAAAGTTGTAGGAAATTAGACGCCCTACAACTTTGCCATAGTGACCAAGGTCATAGGTCAAAGTTCAGGGTCAAATTTTTAAGCTTGAATTTTTTGATGCGCCACCAAAGTACCTAGTACATAAAAATTTTTGATTCCATTATAGCCAAAAGTTGCTCTAGTTGGTAGTCAACAACATATTAAAATTTGGCGAGACTGTTTTTTTCCGTTTTCGAGATATTTTAGGTCAAAAGCAGAAAAACGTGGTTTTCCGAGCATTTTCCTACACAAATCAACATTTAACCGCCCGTAAATTTTTTCCTGCTAAAGTTACGCAAAAATGTGTAATGACAAAAAATGATTGCCTTGACCTTTTCTTTTAAACCATGTATCGCACATAGTGACCAGGTCACAAAAGGTCATTGACCTCGGTGACCTGTGACCTTTCCAAAAATATTTGCTGGAAATGTTTCACCTCAATGAAAAGAAACATTAGAGTATCTGAAATTCAGTTTTGCACTTGCAAGGTCACAGGTCACCGAGGTCAATGAACTTTTGTGACCTGGTCACTATGTGCGATACATGGTTAGAAAGAACAGGTCAAGGCAATCATTTTTTGTCATTATACATTTTTGCGTAACTTTAGCAGGAAAAAAGTTACGGGCGGTTAAATGTTGATTTGTGTAGGAAAATGCTCGGAAAACCACGTTTTTCTGCTTTTGACCTAAAATATCTTGAAAACGGAAAAAAACAGTCTCGCCAAATTTTAATATGTTGTTGACTACCAACTAGAGCAACTTTTGGCTATAATGGAATCAAAAATTTTTATGTACTAGGTACTTTGGTGGCGCATCAAAAAACTCAAGCTTAAAAAGTTGACCCTGAACTTTGACCTATGACCTTGGTTACTATGGCAAAGTTGTAGGGCGTCTAATTTCCTACAACTTTTTTTTTATACACACATGCGCTATCTGCAGCAGGAGCTGAGATATTTTTGATTTTCGAAAACACCTTTTTTAAAAATCCCCAACTTTGAGCCCCTGTAAAATAGGCAATTTTGAGAATTTTCAAAAATCCTTCTAAGCTATTTGTCTACACCCTAAGGGCAACCAAACTACCAATTTTCAACAAGATCCGCCGACCCCATGCCAAAAGTGGGTCCCGTTAAAAAAAATAATGCCATATTAAATTTTTTTTAATTTTTTTTCAGACATATTGATACCTGACTCTTTATGCTGTCTTCTTCCAGTAGACCGAGTGTTTGTGTTCCAACCTCAGAATCATCATACCAATAAGGAGCCGGGGACGTGTCTTCAGGCTAAAAAAAACATAATGAATTAATTTTAAACCTAAAACCTTAAAGACTCGACTCTTACTGCTTGCGACAGCTGTTTTGCAAACGCAAAGAGTTCTGCAGACTCGACTTTCAGTTTATGGGTCTGCTGCTCTCGTTTGATTGCATCGATTATTAGTTTCTGCTGAAGGCTGTAACATAATGCACTATGAAGCTTTTCAAAACATTTATATTTTACATCTTATACTAACATGATATTGCTGTCCTCATCGTCTCCTAGAACGAAAAAGAATAATTCTTCACCATATATAATGTATCATTCTTAAAGGTTTTTTCAGGGTCACAATTTGTGTATTGATTGTTATTTTTTCTTTTAAAATATTTGGCGGTTTAAAAATGTGCAATACTACATAACAAAAATTGGAGAGTAAATAAATCGTTGGCACAAAAATTTATCCTTTAACTATTATTTCCCTCATGGGATCGTGCGTGATTAGGCTGCATTGCATTAATTTAGCCCCCAGTGCCCCCACCCCCAAAGCTCTTCTTTGCCACCCAAATGCTCCAATTATAATTATATATAAGTTTAATTCTTTTTGAAATAATCAATCAAGGCTCAGGCCAGAAATTAATCTGCGAATTAATGTATGGTAATTTGGTAAATTCTCTCAATCCACGTCGAGTCACAAAATTGTGGTGAAAATAGTTTTCGAACTTGTTGTGGAAGAATGAAATCGTTCTCATGTTATAAAATTGATTAAAAATACTATACAACAAATTTGGTAATGATTAATGATATCGTAAAGCTTCCAATCAAAATTAAAAAATAAAAATAAAAGACATATTTTCGTTTCTTAATTACATGCTTGATAAAATTTGCCAGGGGTGAAAGTAGCTGCCACTTAAAACGCCACTCATCCCTTTGTTTCTGCATTGCAGTTGCTTTTCCTCCAACTCATCTGCTTCCTTCAACAATTTTTCAGCATCGAGCTGTTTTTGGTTGGTTTTGAATTGGTCGAGAAGCGTCTCTTGCTCCTCCCTGAAATTTATTTACAAAAGTGTTACATTTTCCATAAAATTATATGTGATATTATTTACAGATATTTCCCTTTCGTCTCGGAGTGACTATAACCGTTCTGCTTCCAGCAATACTCTCAATAATTTTATCGGCTGGCTGTAGCAATTCTGAAACAAAAGTTAAGTATTGTTTAAGTATGTTATATAATTAAGAAAATGAATTAATTTTCATGGCAATATTGCTTTAAATAATTAATTTTTATGCTTAAAACAAGTATACATTTTGTATTAATCTAATAATTTAATATGCCGGGTTCAATTTATAAAAGCCAAACAGCCAATTTTAAGCAAGGGAAGCGATTTTTATTTTTTAATGTTGAATCAAATTTTTATATGAATCAAATTAATATTATGCTTTTTCAAAGAAGAATTTCACGACCATGATTGATTGATTTGCTGCAGGTGAATGTCTTTACCGGCTTTGATATTAAAGTTGCCAAGTTTTTGCATAAAATTTTACGTCAATCTTGTGGAAAATAAATTTGATAAAATTTGATCCAAAGTTTGATAAAAATGAGATCAAATATATAGATAGAAATGCGGTTTATGATGTTTCTGCATAAGTATGTTTTGTTTTCAATGGAAACTTTTTTTGAAACAATTAGATAAAGTTGAAAGAGTTGATAGAAACGGGGTGCCTCAGAAAATTCCCTAAAATTAAGAATTGAAAATGTCCTAACAGAAAATATCCTATCGCCTGAAAATTATGACAAGTCATGTGCAAAAATATTTCATCCTTTCAAGTAATTTTGCTTCAAAATTTATTCTCATTCAAAATATTTTACGCTTCATACGACTAGAGTCTTAATCGGATATTTAGACTTGAACTAATTTTAGTAATTTTAGGCTTATGTAATGATTCAAATATTTTTTGAATGAATTTATTAAAGAACACCATAGGTTTGCGACATTACATATATAAATTAGGAGATCATTTCTTGACGAACTGCTTCACACAAACTTAGAGAATTACGAGTACATTCTGAGAAGTGATATAGTCCAATTTTTTCTCCACATATTTTACAAATACAAGTATCTTTGGCGGTCGTGTGATATTACTTGTTTATGCAAAGTAAAAAGTATCTAGTATATACATCTTTAGTATCAACACATGCTTGTTTCCAGGCATCGGAAACCATAGCGGGAGTGTCATAAAAGGCCGGATCAATTTCAGTCAGTTTAAATAAAAAGCAGTTGTCTATAAATTTTCATAATTATCTGTTTTTTGGAGATGAAATTTCAATACAAGGTTATTGACAAGAGGGTTTGTATCTGCCAGTTCATATACCAGTCCTAATTTAGTAAATTTTGATACCTGCAGGGCTCTTTTAAGAAATCTTGATTTAGTTGTTTCCAATTTATTTAAGTCATTAAGAGTTAAAAATGGCCAGATTGCTTCAAGTATCAAGTTTTTTTCAATTTTTTTATTCTTATCAAATTGATAGTTCCAATTTTATTAGTTTAGTGACTCATTACAGTTTTTTAATGCATATTTAAATAATATTAATTCCCAACATGAAGTGTGAAATCTTATAAAAATCAAAGGCAAAGACCAAATACTGTTTTGAAATGTATCAATTCCTACAGTTTTATCTAATATATCTAATTTTTCAAACTTTTCTAAATTTATCTCATTTTTCACACTTAATAAATTTTTTTACTTTTCATCAAATTTGCGTATCGACCATGCAATTTTTAATTTTATCAAAACCACGTTGGTTCTGATTGGTCTCGTCAATGAATTTAAAATAACTCACCGGTCATTCTGCCAGACTGTTGCAACGACTGTTGCGTGGTGTTCACCTCGGCGATGATAAAGGCCCTGACGGGACGGGATTCTGGCCGGGCACCAGTGAAACGACGCCGACGTGCATTCCCACGCTCAGCAATCTGTGATTGGTGTACGCAGGGTAAGCAATCTCAAAAGCTGTGACCTCACAATAAGGTTCAGCTTCACATTTAATGAGATATTTCTTTGCAGCCATGACGGACGTCACACGCCGGGCGACGGACACTTCTTAGATCTATTTTTAGTCTGCGAGGAACACAGCTCTCTGGACGGTTCTTAAAATTGCGATACGGTTCGGTACAGGGTGCAAATTTTGGCGGACACTAGGGTAGCTAGGACAACAGTTGTGTAAAAATTTTTTTACTTATTGAAAAAGGTAAAAAGGGAAAAAGGGAAAAAATTACGATGAGTTTACAAAAGGACTTAGAGCGCGCAAACGCTCAGAAAGTGCAAAAAGTGGCAAATCAAGTAACATCATACTCTCATTGATATTTGCCATTATGTGCGACGCCTGGCGGATAGTGGGGAAAAGTACAAGACCAGAAATGGGACGATTTCGATAAAATATCGAATTTAGGGTCCCAAAAAGTATAGGAAATTTCCAAAAATAGAGGGCAAAAGCCGTAAAAACGGACTTTAAACCGCTCTATGAAAGCTTTTAACAGAGAGGATACACTCACAATTGAAGGTTCGCATCTGAGAAACCACATCGTGTTTCCGAAGAAACACGCGTAATTTTGCCAAATTCATGCATTTTCCAACCAAAATTTTGGCTATTTAGGCCAGAACCGTGCTAGCGAGCTATGAAATATTGACTTACTGCGAACAATTCCCCAAATGAAACGAAGAAGGCGTTAAATCCACTTAACAAATACAAGTAAAAAATGAGAAAAAAAAGAGAGGAGTGAACTCAAAACACAACCGCACAACACGAGGTTCAACAAGGAACTAAACTGACCTTTCCTAAAACTCGAAAGGGCCGAAAGGGATTTAGTGATGCAATCATCACGCCATCAATCTGTCTCTTTTGTGTGTTTCGCCCAGAAAGTACAGGAACATGCTAGTTTGAATTAGTTTCATAAAACACTCTGATAAGAGGCGCGCGCGCGGTTTTTAAGTCGAAAAAGAGCTGAAATTTTTAAAATAAATTTTCAAAAATCATGAAAATTTTGTATGATAAAGTCGACCTATATTATAATTGAATTTTCTTTAATGTAAAATAAAAATTAACATATTATAAAAAAGTTAAATGAACTATAATAATTTAAATATTCCTGTGCAAGAAAACTGAAATTTCATAAAGAAAATGAAGCATGAAAGGAAACATTTCTGACTTCATGATAATAAAGGAGCAAAAAATTGGTTTCAGTTAGCAATTTTTAAGTTTTTAAAAATTTAGATTTACCAAGTTTATTAAGAGATAAAAGTGGCACGTTTCTATATTCTCTCAAGGCCAAGTATGTAATTTTTAAAAAGAAAAAGTACTCAAATGGCCTTTTTGAGCATTTTGTTGACAAAAACATACGGACCCAACCTTCAAGTGATCACTCCGAGTGGCCGGTTCGTGGGGTGCCCCAAGTCCCATGTGCGTTTGCGAGCTTCGTTCGCACCTCCCTGCAAAAATTAATCTTGGAGGTTGCCCACCTCCGAGTTGCTGGTTTGTGGGGTGCCCCAAATCCCCTTGCGTGCAAAATTGACTTGTGTGCAAATTGTCAATAAATTAAACTTATGTAAATAACTTGATTTCCACAAATGCATATTATACAGAAGTTTTTTATTTGTTATTGTAAAGTAAAAGTAATGAAAATTTATTTAAAAAAAAGCAAATTTCATTTAAATTCGTCTCTCCCAATCTGAACCCATCCCAAAGCCCTGATTCTTTCTTGCAGCCCCTTGATTAAAATTGTGATAGATGACATTATAATTTTTTTTACAGAAATATGAATGCAAAAAGTAGCGAAAAGTAGTAATTTTTTATTAAAAAATTGCTTATTTTGAGAAGAAAAAAAACGTCTTTCCCAATCTGAACCCATCCCAAAGCCCTAATCCTTTCTTGCAGCCCCCTGGCTAAGATTGTGGAAATAGAGGTGAATGGCGCACGCCATTACGACCGCGATTCCAAGGTCATGCACATTAGAGAAAACGAGAGATAAACGCGTAGATTGTTGGCGTCGCGTCCCTGCTAGCAGCAGAGGAGCTGCGTCCGAATATCGGCCCATTTTAAGTGCCTTCAAATCGATAATATCCTTGGATAATATTGTCCCATTTTTATTCTAGTTCATGTATGTACGGGCCAGGTTGGCCAACACAAAGGGAGAATAATAATTAAATTAAACTCCAGAAGATTCTTTTAATTCGTATATTGTAGTAAGGCGGTGTTGTACATTCAGGATGTGTTGGTATTAGAATCGGAAGTTGAAATTCGAATTGAACTGTAAAAACATAATACAATCAGTACAATGAATTACAAACATGTTATTTGAGTATTGGTAATTTGAGTGGAGGCGCCGGCATTGCTCGGCCGGCGAACAGTTTTAGGTTCGGCGTTTTGGGTTAAATTCACTGGCGGGGCCGGTGATTATGCACTTATTCACTGGGCGGGTCATTTTGCCGTCAAGGGAAATTGCACAGAAAGGTTCTTACCCCATAAGTTTGGGTTCAGGCGAAGGTTTGTTGAGTGAGCGATTGAGACGCGCGCTCCATGGCTGGCTTGGGGCGCGAGAATAAACGTGGTTGGGCGGGGCTCACATTGCATGGGAGTGCTGCAGGGTGCAGCACAGGGTGGTGGAGTGGTTTAGTCTTGACTAAACGATTTGTAGTGGGCAGCGGGAAACCGCTGACCGCTACATAGGCCCCCACTTGGAGACCGGAGGTCACTCTCAGTATGTTTCTCTCGGTGAGGTGTCTCTTGGCGAGAAGGTGTCTCTTGGCGAGAAGGTGTCTCTTGGCGAGAAGTTGTCTCTTGGCGAGAAGGTCACTCTTGTATAGGCTGGAGTGAACGAGGAATTTGAGGCGTTGGACTTTTGCTGAGTCCAAAAACAGGAGAACTTGGAAGCTCTGTATGTTGGTTGATTCCAGCCGGGGGAACTTGGCGTGCTGGAAGGTCGTTGGTCCGATCAGCTCTTTCAGGTGTGTCCGACAGGGTGTGTCCCCAAAGGTGACGAGAAATAGCTATGTCTCGTTTGCGCGGTGGGTTGCAGGTCACATATACTTGCCGTGTCGGTCCGAGTTTGAAGGCTCGTGTCGGCGTCGCTGATGTATGCTCTGATTCAGACGAGAGTTCTGCATAAAACTCGTGTGGAGCAAAATTGTGAGTAGGTGCAGCGACAGTTTGGAAGCGCGGTGCAGTGTTGTCTGACGGCTTCTGAGGAGAGGTTCGATCCTTGGTAAGTGTAGGTTCGAAGGACACTGGAATGATGTAATGCTCGTTTAAGAGGTTTTCAGGACAAATTGATTTTGAAAGGTTTATGCCCTGTGTTTGTGTTGCGTTTATGATATTTACGCTGCTGTCCAAAGATTTGGCCTTGGCGGTGGCCACGGTTGCTTGCATGTGAGGAGGCGTGGCTGCTGACAGCATTGGTGTTGGCGGTGTTGTGACGGCATCATGGCGAAAGCTCGTCGTTCGGCGGTCTGCCGAATGTGTATGTTAGTTCTGTCACTCGATGGCTTGATTTGTTGAAGGCGATTCTGCGTTGAAGCATCGCGTTCGGTATCTTGTTCGGGGTCACCATTTTGTACGGGCCAGGTTGGCCAACACAAAGGGAGAATAATAATTAAATTAAACTCCAGAAGATTCTTTTAATTCGTATATTGTAGTAAGGCGGTGTTGTACATTCAGGATGTGTTGGTATTAGAATCGGAAGTTGAAATTCGAATTGAACTGTAAAAACATAATACAATCAGTACAATGAATTACAAACATGTTATTTGAGTATTGGTAATTTGAGTGGAGGCGCCGGCATTGCTCGGCCGGCGAACAGTTTTAGGTTCGGCGTTTTGGGTTAAATTCACTGGCGGGGCCGGTGATTATGCACTTATTCACTGGGCGGGTCATTTTGCCGTCAAGGGAAATTGCACAGAAAGGTTCTTACCCCATAAGTTTGGGTTCAGGCGAAGGTTTGTTGAGTGAGCGATTGAGACGCGCGCTCCATGGCTGGCTTGGGGCGCGAGAATAAACGTGGTTGGGCGGGGCTCACATTGCATGGGAGTGCTGCAGGGTGCAGCACAGGGTGGTGGAGTGGTTTAGTCTTGACTAAACGATTTGTAGTGGGCAGCGGGAAACCGCTGACCGCTACATGTATTCACTACATATGGCGTGACTGTTCTTAACCAAGAACCTCCGTCCAGATGGCGTTCTTAAAATTCTTTACATAATACCTGGTAAAAAACCAATTAATGTTAGTTAAATTCTATTTACTTCCTATTTCATTTGCGCCGGCTTTTCCTTACATATTAATGTTCAGCACTTTCTGGGGAATGTATTAAATTAAAATAAATTAAATTTCACAACTGTTGTCCTTAATGACCATTAGCCGCCAGCCTCCATGCGGGACCAAAGTCACCAAAGCTCACCTCACCTCCGATCCGACGGCTCCGACTCCGACTCTAGAGCTGCGGCGACTCGCCTCAGTCGACTGACACTGACAACGAGTCGACTGTCGTCTCTGCCTGCGCTCGGTGGACTGAAGACTGGACACTGGACTGGACAGTGGAAAAGCGCATGAAGTTTGAAAGAAATCCGAATTAGTTCCTACGGAAGTCACTAGAGGCGCGTTGAGCGATTATTTCAGCCAATCAGCGACAGATCCGAGGCGAGTTGATGCCGACCGACCTCGAGCTCCGACGAGCGAGCGAAAGGAGGGGACGTTGTGACGTTGTCGCCTCGGCCCGCCGTCGGCCGTATTTTCGTAGTTTTAGTGTTTTGCGGAAATGCAACTTTTTTTACAGTTTTCGTTAATTTAGGTTTTAGAACACTGAAATTTGCAGAGTTGGTAGATGATTAATTGAGTAATGTGTCTTTTTTAATAAATCTTTAACTGGAGAGTAATAATTAACGTTTCCGCAAGACTTTTCTCCGCAGCGGACCACATTCAAAATTAAAGAAAAATTTCAAAAGAATAAAACTTTAAAAGAAATATGTAGCTAATTAGATTATATATATAATTTCTTTAACAGGCATGACACGAGGAGATTATAAATTAAATAAAGTTCCTTTTGTTGGTTTTGGTGGCCTAACCACACCACAGCTATAAATTTTGAAATAGCTTTTTAATAATTTTTTAGACTTTAGTTTTAGGTTGAAAAATGTATGCTCTTTTGCACAATCAGATTGCTACGTATGCGCACTTCTCAACTGGTAATTATAATTGAGCAATTTCGTTTTCATTTTTGCACATTTTATTTGTTGGCGTGTAAGCACAAAAGTCGATGAATAAGAGTATGATTCATAAGCTTAAAAATCTTATCTGGTGTGCGTCTGAATTCTAAAATGCCTTTTATAAATTCCCTTGAATTCTAAAATGCCTTTAATAAATTCCCATGAATTCTAAAATACCCAATAAATTCCCTTCAACAGCAATGCCATCCCATCAATTCTATACTTGTTGATTGCAATTGAATTTATATTAATTAATTTGTAAATTTGAAGCTACTTTAAATTTATCATTAAGTCAAAATAAATGACATGTGTAAGAATTTAATTCAGAAAGAAAAAAATAATAATCAAATAGAAAGCCCTTGAAAAATAATGAATTTAATTTAAAGCCAATAATTATAATTGAATAAAAAGTAAATAAATAAAAATGATGACGCAGTAGTGGCGGTGCCACAGCCACAGTCAAAACAACAAAATTAAGAGGTGAATAAATTAATTACTCCACACCAGTTGGTATTAAATAATGCTCCGTGAGATAAATTTAGTTGCTGTTTACTGATAATTTTCATTGTTGAAACAATTTAAAAATTCCATGAGAAAAAAATAAGAGCTTGCCTTTTGAAAGCTCATAAGGCCGATAAGACACTGTCTTGGCCTGACGAAAAAAATAATATTATTATCTGTAGCCCTGCATTATAACACTTTTTTTAGTTTTCATGCCTCTGAATTTTTTTTTAGCCAATTATATAAAGCTACTTTTCTAAACACAAATTTGAAGTTGAAAAAAAAATTCAACACCAAACTGTAAAAATTCTAATTGTTAGCATATTTAAAAAGAAATCTCTTTTAATATTTTGATATTTAACTTGCTGCTGTCGATAAGGAATTGGTGTGACTGTAGTGGTCTCTGTAAGTGGACAAGGTCAAATGTGTGACCAGGGCGTCCGCGAGTCGGACGACGGCGGCCAAGCAGACGTCGTGCTTCTTGCGTGGAGCCGCGGACACAACTCTAGCTGGAAGGAGTCGCGGGAATTGTGCAGTCCATGTTCCACTTTGAGCACCTCCTTAATGGCATCCATGCCGCCCTTCTGGAAGTTGTCCGACAGGATGCAGTAGTCGATGTTCAAGTGCGCCAGCCGGTCTTTGCAAAAAATGCAAAACGATATTCACATAAAATTAATACCTCAACTTAATAGAACGAAATGCGCTTGCATATTTTTTTTTTTTGCTCTGTAGGCGATTGAGTACAAAAAAATGTGACTTTTTAGATGAACAAATAAGCGATCTTCAAAATTTCAAATTTCAGATAAACAGGAGTGAAAAAAGGTAATATTTTATATTAATTTTTACATACAGAAATTATAATTTTATTAATTTTTCTAAATTACAAATATAATTGGAATAGAGCACTTTGCCGTCACTTTAAAAACCAGAGTAAAATTTTTGGGACAACAAATGACATTAAAACTGAAGTAAATATCATATTTTATATAATGTATAGGAAAATCTCAATAGAAACACACGATCACTTCAATAATGCCCTATCAGTCTCTGCATCAAAATTATTCGCCGCGCGCTCCTTTTTTATCACATGAAATTTTTGTTCCAAAAATGATTTCATATTTAAATTATAAATAAGCATCCTAAACGAGATTTTGGTTCACACGAAGATACAGTCACTTGACAAAACAGACAGCAATGGTGGCCAATTCCAGCTCAAGAGTGGCGCAGACACGATTCACACATTGGAGCAATAGACGATTGCCCTGCTGGACGGGCGGCCAGTGCGGCCACCATTGGCCGCATGTCATGCCGTCTCTTCCTTGGCCACTTTTCGGTCTTGGCCGTTGCCAGTCTTCTTCATGAGCGGGTAGCCCGACTCGGACGTGTTCAGTTGGATGCTAAAATTAAAAAATTTTACTAATTTTGACATAAAAAAAAATTCGTAAAAATTCCCAAGTGATGATAAATTTTGTTTCAATCAAGATTAAATGTTTAATTAAATGTTTTTTTTTTTTAAATTTTAATCTTAAAATTGGATTCAAAATAGATAGTTTAATTACTTTTTGCACCTTTTCTCGGACGCTTTGGCCACTTTCAGACGAATGAGGCAAGAAATGGCCACTACGACGGCGGCAACTCCGACCACAGCCATGACCATTCCCACGATGGCACCATTGCTCGGCAGGGCCAACAAGGCCAGCAGCGACGACGCCATTTCTGGGGTCATCGTCGCCCTCTGCTCGAACCAGATGATTGGGAAGAAAACTCTCGGCACCCGCTTGTACATGCTGAATTATTTCAGTGATTTTATTATAAAAATATTATTTATTATTATTATTTTTTTTAAAATACTTAAAATAATTCTAAAGATTAGAAACAAGGCTGACCTTGGTTTTTTTTTGGGATTTTTCTACGATATACTATTAAAAATTTATTTGTATATTTAATTTACCTTATATACTGACTAGGTTGAAGGAGGATGTTGATTTGGAACCTGGCAGCAACATCCAGAGGAATTCCAGTTGTCTGAAATTTTTTTAATTATTTAGAACTTTACACATTTTAACTTTAAATCAATTAAATCTGTACATTTTTAGTAATTCTAATTAATTTTTTTATAAAATATAATTTTTATTTCTTACCGGCTCCAGAACGACGTAGAACTGGTGCTTCTCCTTTTCAGGACTCATGCCGTTGATGAGGGACGTGTAGAAAGGGTCGGCCATCAGGTAGTGCGGGTAGGAAACGAAGGCTGGGGCGCCGTAGCGGCAGCTGGACGCGTTCACCACCCCGATGGGCAGGCAGTCGCCGTTGCAAAAGCACCAGTTGTCCGCGTCCACCGTCCCGTTGTCCACGATGTTGCGACCGCCCGAGTAGCGATAGCCGGACACGCCGTGAACGTCAACGTCCTCTGTGTAGCCAAAGGTGAGTGACCTGGGAGGAAAAATACGTTGTAAAGAAATTAAAAGTGTATAAATTTAAGCACCGTTTTATAATTTTAAAAGACCTGATAGATTCAATTTTTGCTACAGAAAAGATTTGAATTTTTATATTTTTTCCTTAAAACAATCAATATTTTTACAAAATTTGCAAAATAAATTGAATTCCACTTGTAATTAATTGGAGCTCACCTGCAAAGGTCAGGCGAAAACATGGAAATGTTGGTCTTGGTCTGCCCTGGAGGCCAAAGTTCACCTGCCGAGCCATTAACCATTCCGCAAGTGGAAGGGAAATAGTTTGTTCTGTTGACATAATTCCAGTTTCTCAGACGACCCACCTTAAATTTAAATCGCACAAAACAAATTTAAAAATATAAAAAATTGGCTTAAAAAAATTACTTTGTTTAAATCGTCCGCTCCCGTGTCCATATTGAAGAAACCGTCGTACTCATCAGAATTATTTCTCTAAAAAGTTTTTTTTAATTAATTGTAATGTAAACTAAAAATTGTGAAATTTTTACTTTGTAAAACCAGCCGAATCGGTCGAATGGAATGTCGATTTGTGCGAGGGCGGGCAGCGTGTCTGCGAGCGAAATCAGAGGGTCTTCGTACCCTTCGAAAAGGTACTCGCGGACCTTTTTGGTCACGTGGCGCGTCTCCATCTGGCTGATGACCACCGACAGCGGCGTCTGCATGAAGACGCTCCAGTCGCGCGCCACAAACGCCGCAGTCTAATATACGAAAAATTATTTTTACAATTGATAAGATGATTAGAAAATTACCAGAGGAGGGAGGTTGAGAGTGGTGACTTGGTCCTCAAGGGTGCCGTTCGAGTGGTCAGGGTCGAACACCCAGCGACGCACTTGCTTGAAGGAAACAGTGTTGTTCTCATGGAATGTGACGTTCACTTTTTCGTGGAACTCGCTGGTGGATGATTAAATTTTAATTATATTAATTACAAAAAAAGAGGCTGAATTTCATCTTACTTGAATCTGTAAGGTCCCATTTGATTGAAGGTCGGCTTGGTGCTTTTGTCCTCGAGCTGCTCAGGGTTGGTCCAGTTGAAGAAGTAGAACTGGATGTACATTGGCACCGGCGTGTCCTTCCATACCTGATAACTCTGCGAGCTCTCCGACAGGTGCAACTCCTGCAACGGTTTTCATTTAAAAAATTTAATTTAGAGATTCTTTATAATAATATTATTTAACGTCAGCACTTGATTCCAGAAATTTTGAAATAGAAAAAGTAATAATTCTGATTTATTTACTAATTCTCTGATTTATTTTAATTTTTTTTTTTTAATTTCAATATTTACATAGAAAATGGCTGTAGTGATAAAAATTATGAAAATTATTGAACAAAATCTAAAAATAAATAAGATAATATTATTATTTATAACAAAATATTGCGGCATTTATAAATATTATAACAATGCATAAAATATATATATTAATTAAAATTTATCTGTAATAAAAAAATTTGTAAATTAAATCAATTATGTATTACAATTGTCTTATAAATAAATTAAATTAGTTTTACCACTTTCATTTAATTTTAAATACATTTTTTATTTTATAAAGCGTGCGGCAGCAAAAAAAATTAAAAGTTGAGCTGTTAAATTTGTAACAAATGTGTCTATATGTAATAAAATTTGGAATGATAGTTTTTATTGGCAAATCTCTCTTAATGGAGAAAAATTTAATTCTTCTTAATTAATTATTATTATAATTTTTTCATTTTATTCCATTGAACGTCCTTGCAATTGGAAAGAAAACTCAACCGCGTGCATAAAATTAGCACTGTTGTTGTTCCTGGGTGCGTAATTTAATTGAGCGTGTGAGAGAATGCGAAATTAATTGAAACGGCACAACAATTAGATACGCTATTTATTTCTTTTTTTACTCAAAGACGATGTGAATTCGCGCTCACGCGAGTTCTCTCGTCGCAGCCGCGTGTGCAATAATTAAATCGAGGAAATTTTTGACAAGGTCAACGTTGAAATAGGACAAAAGGAAACTTGTGAGTCTGCCGGCGCCCCAAACACCGCGCGCTGGTGGAAATTTTTCATTCATCGGCCGAGAAGCGAGAAGAAGCCCCGCAACGGCGCCAGGAGAGTCGCCTGATCGCGTCAATCACGCGGCCTCTCTTCATTATTTTTTCCTCGATTCTTAAAATGTGACTAGCGGACGAACCGACTCGGCAGTTCAATTTATTTTTATCGCCATCACGTTTGCATTCATTGACGCGTTTATAAATAGAGAAAAGAAGAAGAAGAAGTCGCGACTTTAGATATTTTGTTTGAAACATTTAAGACGCTGACTCTGATCTTTTTTAAATACTTTAAAAAATAACATTTTTGTTTAAAATAAAGTTTTAAATTGAAAATAAACAAATTTTAATAAATCTAGTCAAATTGAAACAACTAACTTTTATTATTTTTTGCTATAAAGAAATTTTTTTATTTACTTTGCTTCAGAGCTTATTAAATTGGAGGTTTTCCTCAAAGAGAGCAACAGCAGTGAAAAAGCAAACAAAAAATCCCAGCCTTGCGTAAATAATAAGCTTATGTAACCCGCCAAAGTATTTGGCCCAAATTGGAGGTGTTACGTTTTGTGCACTTGTAAGACCGTTGAGTACGATTTCCCACGTGGACCTTCACCCACCAATATATATTATGCGGTCTACTCCAAAAGTCCAGCAGACCGGAAAATAAACTTGCGTGCAATTACTCCATGCAAATTGAACGCTGAAGGCCAGAATTTGAAATCGAAATTAGAAAAGGTTTCCCGAAAAGTGGATTTGTTTTATAAGCTTGAGCAGCTTGATTTTTATATTAGCTTTTCTCGATTAAAATTATAAAAAAAATATTTTAATTAAATCTGATTCAACAGTGACTTAATATTTTAGTTTATTCAATTAATTTAATTTTCAATTCACTCGATATCACAAATTATTTATTTTTGCTACACATTGCACAAAAAATTCTGTCCTTGAGCTCCTTGTTTGTTAAGAATTTTCGCCTCACAATTAAGTGACTTTTGGTAAACCTCAAATTGACTAACCAAAAAAACACACCAATTTTTTGCTGTTGGTGCGTTGTGTTTTTGACAACAAGTGATTTATTTACTTGCAGGATTTAGGTTTTTCTGTTAAATTAACTACGTTGATTAAAAACATAAGGAAATTTAATTATTAGCGCTATAATTTTAATTGGTTTTAAATTTTGCAAGAAGAAAAATCTAAAAAGCGAATAAAACTTGAAAAACTGACCTTAAAATGATAATTCAAGTTAAGTTGAAGATTTTCTTGCATTAATTTGATAAAAATTTGAGATCAGAATCTTGAATGTTACAATCGGCGTAAAGATTAATTTACTTAGAGTTTGAAATTTTCCAAAAATAATCAATTGCAATTGCAAACAGCTCAATTTTAATAAAAAAGTTGTTTAAAAATTTCATAACTTACAGTGCGAAGAATGTAATCAAAAAGGTCAGGTGTCCATTGAATGGAGAAGACGCCCAGAACGGCCACCACGAAGCCCAGGCCGAGCAGGCAATAATGTCCCAAGCTCGTCCTCATCAGCCACTGGAATCAAAGAGAAATACAAAATTTAAATATTAAGAGAAATTTTTTAAGAAATATTATTTTAAATAAAAAAATCTAAAATTTTCAGTCTGTTAATTGGATTGAGAAAAGGAGAGCGATTGACAATTTTACATACAACTTGGTCCGCGACTGGAGAGAGAAAGAGTTAATAAAAATCGTTCCCCTGTCTACACGGATGGGGCGAAGATGTGCAAATGACGGGGCTCGCCGCCGACTCGCAACTCGTCTTTTGTCTGCACTTAAAGAGCTGTCACCGGAATTCGGATCGAATTTCCAACATTTCAGTGTCTCAATTGAGCCTCGGGTCAACGAGGAGTTGCTACTTTTATCATTGCAATTAATTGTCCTCTTCGCTGCTCCGACAAGATTATTTTTATTTTCCCTCCGTCCAGATGTTAATGACGTGCACCTGACGGTTATGCAACGCCGCGGATCGATCGCGAGCTGCGTTCTTTGGCGAAATTTAATTAACGTTATTACTCGAGACTATAGAAGTTCTCCGTTCCTTTCAGTCTTGCTGGAAGAGGCAATATAAGAAGGAGTGAGCCGAGGTAGAAATAAAATCGAGCAGACGACAAAGGGTTATGTAACGAGAGAGTTTGTACGTCTTTCAATTTTTATTTATTTTTTTTCAAGCCGTTGATTGACAACGGGCAAGACCCTATCCTATACTCGTTCAGAAATGCACGAGATTTGAATGACAATGAGCTCTCGCACAACTTTCGAAGGCGAGAATATGTAATTTATGCTCTGGAGCGAAAGTTGTATAATGTTGGCTAAAACAATCGTTAATTTAATTACACCTCTTGATGATCAACAACAAGACAATTCCATTTTGGTGCAGGGAAAGGTTTTGAGGAAGATTAAATGCTAAACTTTCCTTTCAGACAGCAAAAGAGAAAAAAATTGAAATTTGTAAAGGTTCAATTACATTAGGAAAATTCCAGGTTGTCTGTGTATTCAAAAATAAAAATTACAGAAAAATAATTAAGAAATTCACTTATTTCAGTAAATTTCTACAAAGTCAATAAAAAAAGTAGAATGTAATTCAAAGTATGCAAAAAAAATATCTAAATTATGAAATCTCAATATATCATTTTTGTAAATCAAACAAAATCTTGAGTCAAAATAACAAAACTTGCAAATATAAAAGCAAATTTAAAAGCTAAAATAGATTAAATAGATTTTTTTTTTCACCGAGGAAGTGTTTACACCAAATAATCAATTATTTAAAAACTGCAGTTCATTTTCTATAATTTTGAATAATCAATTAAAAAAGTTTATAACAAATGCTTATAATTAGATCTGTTTGTTGCATATAACAAGGCTGAATGCTACATTAAAAAAATAAAAAAAAAATTATTCCTTTTTGCCGACACCAATTAAACTGGTAAAAATGATTTCAATATTGAAAATGGATATTAACTTAAATTACCTATCAAAGAAAACACCTATTTAGTTTTTAAATAAATCTTGTTCTTTTGTCATCTCGGATGATATTTTTAAATTTTCTCTGTGTGCATTTTTTTTCTAAATTTAGCCCACCCATCTGATAAGGGGGGCAAGCAAGGCTAACGCGTATTGAAACCAACTGAATCATTCGTCGCGTCTTACTCGAATTTGCTATTTTTAATACAACGCGCCCTGAAGAATTTAACAAAACATTCGTTAATCAACGTCAAAGGTTGCTGACAATGAGAAGGAAAAAAATATTTGTGGCCTTTTTAACAGAGACATTAAAATCTTTACACATGACATAAAAAACGCGGGCCTATTAAAAAAGTATCCTCTTGTCCACAATGAAATACCTCTGACTAAACCACACGTCCAAATAAGCCATTGCGAAAAGGTCCTTTGCCAAAAATGCAGCACAAAAACAACAGTTAAGAACTTGGTTTGCACCTACCTCTTAATTAATCTCTCGCTGCTGCAAAAGATAAAATTATAATTTGCTGTCAACTCTCTTTGGCGCACTTGAACACAGTAATTTCTAGATAATTCAATTTCAAGTGCAGCGACTCGATTGACAACGGCGTAGTGAACGAAATTGAATCACACATTCAACACAAAATTTCTCCAGAAATATAGATAACACAATTTCCACAAGCAAGATTATATCTGTTGTTAAGATTTGTTTTATTAACAACGAGTGCCCTAAAATTTATATAAATGCAAACAAACTTTTCGTCAATAGCCTTGGGGAAAATATAGCCGTTGGAATTTGGTGGCTATTTCTAGCTGTTTGTTTGCAATATACAATTCTCCATGTGCGTATGACAACGTGTCACATACCAAACAATTTAATGATACAAATTTTCAAATTTTTTAAATACTCACGCGAATATTTCTATTTAATTCCGCTCAGAATCCAAACAGGCTCGTAAATTTTATTTTGGTATAAAAAATCATGAAAGCAAGTTTTTAAAAAGGTACTCATCTTTTTTTCAAATAATTTACTGTAACACCGCTCCACTTAAAGCATCCTGCGCGGTTCAACAGACTCAAGCCCAATTAATTTTGCACAATTTCGTCCGCAGTGATTTTTAAAGAAATCGTCTTCAGCCTCAACGAAAGATCAATGCAATTATAATTTTTATGGAAAATGAACACATTTTTTCCTCTTCCGAGAAACATAAATATTTTTATGCATTAAAATTAAAAGCCGATCACCAGAAAGTTGCGATAATTATTAAGCCGACTGCATGCAAATTTTGGGCCAAAATAATCGGACTTGCCTGCTTATTTTTCATCTTCGGCGCCATGAAGAATTTTTCTTTGGATTTTCTGCTCAAATTCAAGCTCTCTCGGGTCTTTTCTATAACCGTTCTGAATGAAGTTTACACCGGCAATGAGTTGTGTTTTGCCAGAAGAGGAAGGTTTTAGGCTGGGCTGCACACACGCGAAGCACCGCCTTTCCTCTTCGTCTTTGAGCGCGCTGCTCGTCCGAGTCTCAATGTCAATCACGACAATCACGCGAATAAAAAATCCGCCACACCTGACATGATGGCATTTTGCGCCGGCAGAAAAATTTATTATGCGCAAAGTATCAAGCTAGAAGAGTTTTACTAGTCAATAAAATATGATTAGTTATTTTATGTGGAAGAAGAACTTCCTAGTCTTTTGCCGATCCAGCTTTTATATGGGCCATTTTCGCTATCTGGACGGTCTCTTGCCGAAAAAAACTTGAGACGTCAAATGCATAAATAATGATCACAGTGGGACGCCAAACGTACATTAGTCCATATTTAAAATATATGCGAAATGTCTGATTAATTTTTTTGCTTCGTCAGTGACGTTTATTGAGGTAATAAAAAAAAACTTTAAAAGCTGGCTGGCCTTCATATTTGCAAAAGAATTAAGATGGTAATTATTTGACATTAATCTTGATTGTAAAATTTCTGCACAATGAAAAAAAAATGCTCTACATATCTTCGATCCAAGAAACTCGTAAAATGCGGCAGACGCGTAAAAATGTAAAAAAGTGATCAAAGGCGAGGCCAACATTAATTTGCTCATTGCTCGTGGCCATGTTGAAAATTTTTGCAAGTAATCGTTTTCTTCTTTGTGTGCCCACGCTAATTTGAGTGAATGAGATTTAAATCTTGTACGAGTATATTCGGACTGACTTATGAGCCATGAATTTATTAATAAAATAATGAAGCTCATCTGACAATGAATATGAAAACGTTTCATGGAATTATTTCCATCTTTTGGCTCAATTTAATAACAGAAATATGATAATAGACAAGATTTAAATAAAATTGGAGAAGCCCGAATTCTTCATTTATTCATCATCTACTCGAGTGCCAACTTATTGAAACAAATTTATAGTATTGAAAAAAATTTAATCTGTTGAATCATATATATAGAAAAGTTATTTATTATTTTATTATGAAATTTTAAAAAATTACTTACTTTGTAAGTATTAAAAAATTTAAATTTAAATATTTAAAAAATATTTATCAATGCAATATATTTAATTTCTATTGAAAAATGCTGAATTTTGGTTTAAATTGTATAAAATTGCAAAAAATTCTTTATATTTATATTTTTCAAAATAATTTTAAGGCAGCTAATTAAAATTTGTAAATTTTCATAAAATATATCACTTAATGAATAATTTATTGGAACAATTAAAAAAGTATTTTAAAATTCCATGACATTAAATTTGTTAAGATTTCTGTTATTTTGTGTGTTGAATCGAGAGCAACTTCATTCAATTCGAGCCATTCAGATTAACATATGAGCAAAAAACCGGTGCTGTCAAATGCTGACAGCCAAATGATCGACGCAGTCTATTTCTGGCACAAAAACTAACGAGAAATAAGTCTCATCGTTATCAATCCAGATTAAATTTAGAACGAAATCAAGCAGCTGAATTTAAAAAAGTTGTCAGCAAATTTTTTTCATGCCTCCTTAAACGTGACCTACACGCAACATAATAACCTTTGTGCTCTTGTTGCAATTATCACACATAAAGTTCAAGTAAGGTCGAATCCTAAATTTAAACCGAATTACGCAAGATAAACCGAGAAAAAGAATATAAAATTAAACTTACCATGTTCGGAAGCGATTTGCAGAAATAATCGCGGCAGAGAGAGAGAGAGGAAAAGGGTTAATTAGGCAGAGAGCGAAGGCCTAGCTCGCGTGCAGACGGCGGCGGCCTGTCTTTCTAATTGTAAGGTGCTCATCCGTATTACAACGAGATGATCCTTGCCCTTCTACTCGCGGCGGCACCAAGAGTAATGAGAGTGGCGACGCGGAGAACGCACAACCGAGTCGTCTCCCCTCGGCCACCTGTTTCCACCCACTGGTCGCGCGCAACCCCCGGGCCGCGGCTTTTATAGGGGTGGAAATCACGTGGAGCGCATGTTAAACAAAATAATCTTGTTTGATTTTTGTGTCTGACGAAATTTTGGCAATGGTGACGCGTTTCTTACACTTGAACAAATTTTTTGTTATCTAATTAATGTTTTGCTCAATCGTACCTAGCGTGCGTGTTTTTTTGCACATAGATTTTGGAGTTAAGTGAAAATAAAATTATAATTTTGAGAACTTATTTTAATTTTAAAATATAAGTAAATATAAAATTTTGCTACACAATGTTTCATATTCAAAACGTACTGTAAAAATCTTCATTTCTGTAAAAAATAACAAAAAATTATAAATAAATTTTGTCTTCAAAAGGTGCAAGATATATTTTCATAACTTTCTTAGTATATTCTCTTGTGTCTCATAAGTTCTCAACTATAATTTGATTTTCACGAAAATTAACATGTTTTTTTTACAAGTTTTATTTCTGAAGTTTTTTATCACCATTTTTACAATATTTCATTAAATTTTGAATTGATTTAGTTAAAATTATTGTTGATTAAGTAATATTTTTATATCTTAAAATTTAATTTTTATACATTGAAATATCTCCTGAATGTTATTTAAAAAGAAGATATATTTGACATATAATTTAATTTTGAATTTGGTATATCATAAGCTTAATTTTCAGAACATTGATTGTTCTTGCAATTAACCCTTTTATTTTAATCTCTATAACAACCCGTGACCTACAGCACTTGGGTTGAATCCGGTCGAATGTGAAAGAGCGTTCTTTGTTTTACGGAAGAAATTCATTTTACAACTGATAAATGCACCCGACCGCATTTTACAATAAATGGTGTGTCAAATAGGGTCGTTTGATAAACACAATTATTTTATTGCGCTTTGAACTCTTGGCTTCCAACCTAGAATAATAATAATAGATGCAGTGGGATTGAAGTCAATAACGATAGTACCAATATTTTTCTCGTAAATTTATTATTGTTTTATATCCAGAAAAATAATAAATTATTTAGATCATACTCTGTTTTAAGGCAAAGAAATTATAAGAAAAATGGGAGAAATACATGTTTTTTCGCGTTTCAACACTTTTGAGAGATTTTTTACCCCAATTCTTAGTGCTTCAGTTAGGAAAAAAAAATGGTTTTTGTTCTCATTTCTCACTTATTCCGTCTGTCGGAGAAATGCAAACTTCAGAAGTTTCAACAGCAACAGGATAGTATGAGCTACTGTGGTATTCGCGCGACGAGATTATTTTACTCCATTTACTATATGAGCAGGCTTTGTGCGCTTTTTGTCCACTAATAACCACAACGGAATATTATTTAAGCACTTATACGATTTTAATCTCATTACTCTGCATTTATCTTATTTATGCTATTAAAATTTACTTTAAGAAATTCATGAAACTGAAGAATTCTTTAAAAAAAATATAAATATATAATTTTAATTTTATATAATAATTTATCAGCGCATAATTACTTCTTCAATTTATTATGTAAAATTATAAAATAAAAATTGGACTGACGTTGAAATTTTTTTAAGGAGGTGAAAAACCAAAGCCAAGCTTTTTCCTTGTTTGTAAAAAAAAATTGGTCCTATTAACAAACAAATGGCTTTACTAGCTTCGTCCACGGTCTGCGAACTTATTGCATGAGCAAGAAAAATACTAAAAATCAGCAAATTGAAAAGCCAAATTTTTAACAAAAATATTCGCAATCTTCAAACCAACAAATTCAAGTACAATTTAAGTGCTATATTTGTTAGAATTTGATAGTTTTTGCTAAAAATGTGTTTTTTCAATTCGCTGATTTTTGTATTTTTCTTGCTCATGTGACCGAAACTGGTATGGAGCCGTCTTGTTATTTTTATTAAAAACTATTTTTTACAACAAGTAAAAAAGCCTGAGTTCTATTCTTACATGATCATCTCCTCAAGTGTCAATTTCTTGAACAATGTTTTTTAAAAGAGAAAAATTTAATATTTTATCTAATTTGAAATTTAAATATTAAAGCTTTTAATAAGGCCTAAAAAATATGCGATGGAAATTTTAGTATCAAAATTTTTAAGCAGTGATATAACATTGGACATAATTATAAACAACAAATAATAATTTTGAAAAAATTTTCGCATCTTTTTTATTGATTTGAAATAAGAATAAAATTTGGTAAATTGCTACTTATTTTAAACTTTATTATTGATTGAATTGACTAAATTGTTATTTTTTTTTATTGATTGCAGGCGCGTTGTGCAAATTGATGACCTTTTCGCGGGTGCTCGGCTGGTGCGCGATGCTTCTTTGTTCTCTGTGCTGACGTCAGGTTGGTGTCAAACGCGCAGGCAGGGGGGCGTGTCCGAGTTGGTCCGTCCGAGGTACTCTGCTGCTCAGCTCGGTAGACGGAAAAAGATAAACACGAATTCGAAACGCAGTCGAACACGGAATCGTCGAATTGTTATCTGCGCGCTCGGGGCTTCTTTATCTCGAGGCCCGTCGCGCTCTGCTCTCGTCGCCGAAGGTGTCTTGAAAATCCGCTATTACGGCCGGGCCGAGCAGGAAAATGGCCATGGGGGACGATTCTCCCGTGGTGTCCCTCATTCTGCCAGTGCTAATCAGGCCAATTCTGGCCCAGGTGAGTCGACTTTTCGCCCTCGCGCCCCGTGTGTGTCCGACATTTTTCGCGCGTCTGCCAAGAATTCGCCTCGCGTTTTGCAACGCCCGATTTTCCCTCTCGCACTATTTCCAACTATTATTTGTTTTGACGCTTGCATCACACCCGCCGCTAGCTTGGCAGCAACCCCTGCCAGAATTGCGAGCACTTTTGATTGTGGCAACGACTGCTTGAATCTTCCACAATCCGTCTTTTCTCTAATCAGTTATATATAAATCTCCCTGCCATTATCACGTCTGCTCAATTGGTTCTCCGCAATTAAGTTTACACTCGGTTTCAGCTGGAGAAGAGGGACCTGGTGGCCTCACAGACCCTCCGAGCGGCCATCAGCAAGACAGAAGCGTCCCATCCGGGCTTCACCTACAACCTTGTCAAGGGAATCATGCGACGGGGCGACTTCAGCGTCAACATGAACGAAAGCATCCTCAGGTTGCAAGGGACCAGCACTGAAACTGATGGTATCAATTACACTGCTTGGAAAATTGTAATTTATTCACTAATTATTTCACTTTGCAGTCGAGTACAGATTGAGCCGATCAGAGGACTCGTTTCAGGAGCTGAACAAAAAGTCAGCCTCGCTGAAAAAGATCCTCAGCAGAATCCCTGACGAAATCACCGATAGGAAGACTTTTTTGGAGACTATCAAGTACGGATTTGGTTTTTGAGGAGATTTTTTTTATATATAACTGCTCTCGTTGAATTCTGCAGGGAAATTGCTAGTGCCATTAAGAAATTGTTAGATGCCGTCAACGAAGTTGCGTCGTACCTTCCTGGCCCCGCCGCCAAGCAGGCGTTGGAGCAGAGAAAGAGAGAATTCGTCAAGTTCTCCAAACGCTTTAGCAATACTTTGAAGGAATACTTTAAGGAGGGAGAGTGAGTATTTGGAATATAATATTTTGATTGAAATCATTTTAGTTTTAAGAAGTTGACACTCGAGGAGCTGAGCGTGGAAATGAAAAGATCGGGCTTTTTCCTCGTTGCAGAAATTGTTTTTTATTCAAATACAAACAAATGGCTCAAACCATTCAAAATCATTTTAATTTTAAATCGTATTGAATTTGTTTTTGTATTATAACTTTATCTGGGATTATCACAATAATCTTTTTTCATGTTGTCTATTAATTGTAACATAATCCAATTTATCTAAAATTGGTGAAGTATTCTTATAATTTTTTATAAGAATTTCACAATCAAGGGGTGATGTCTCAGAATTGAATTTTAAGCTCTTTTTTTTCCTTGATGCTTTCTTTGAGGGGCCTCTATGTGTCTGAAGTAATTTTGTCCAAATTAATGTGAGCGATGAGATTTTTCCAGGTTTGAATGATTTGAAAAAATCACATTGATGCAGCATTGATGGAAAATGGAAAACTAATTTTAAAGTCATCAAGTATTCTTGTCTCTCAAAGGTTTTACTATAGACTCAGCCTTGATCTGATGGACAATGAGAGAAAAGTTATGGCTCCTTGTTTTGATAGATTCTAATGTTGTCAAGTCTGCATGAAGATGAATTTTTTTCTTTGATTTTAAATTTTAACTAAATCATTTGTCATTGTTCTACAAATTTTACCTGGAAATTGCTTTGATTGACTAATTAAAAGCAATTTTACCTTTATAAATCAACAACTTACTGGTTTAAGTGATTTCAAGATTTTTTTTATTGCATAACTTTTGGCACCTGTTTATCTTATATAAGTCTTTTTCAATTCTATCGATTAATTTTTTTTATGATTCTCTATGATTTTAACAACACTCTCATCATCTAACTACTTTATTTTTGTTCCAGTGCAAATTCTGTGTTTGTAAGTGCGCTTTACCTGATCCACCAGACCAACATGATCATGTCGACGGTCAAGGACAAGTGCGAATGAGCTCAGCAATGCAAGTCGAAGCAATATAACTCTTACTTAGAAACAAACACACGCGAATCGTTTGCCACCTCCTGCGCAGCCCACGCGGCTGTTATTTAATTTATGAAAACATAATCAAACAAACACTCCTTTCCCTCTAACTCTCAATTCAGTATTTTAGATGGTAAAAAATTGTAACCGAATTGAGTAATTTATTATATTCTTCCCTTGAAATTTGTCTATTTTATGGAGAAAAAACCCCCACCAAATTAGACAACCACGTCTTTCATCCTTACTTGTTAGCTAGTACCTGTTGATCGATATAATTAATTGGCCTTCCTGTTGTTTACTTGATTGTTACTGCCCCCGATTCAACACTGTAGACAGATCGATTTTGGAGAAAGTGCAGAGTTTAGAAGGCCATTTTTTTGTGAAAAGTATAAATAATATATATTATTATATATATTCCTTGCAGAGATAAACACCGTCTACCAAAAAATAATAACTACATACAAAAGAAAGATAACATATTTGTACATATAATAATGGATGTCACTGCTCGAAATTAATTATTTTTTAAGCACACGAGTGATATGGTTGTTGTATTTTATTGTTGAAACTGGGTCTAAATTGTATAAGAGAAAAAGAAGAAACATTCCTTACTGCGGTAATATAATATGTGAATAATTGAAAGAGGTGTTGGTTTTTGACTTAATAAAATTTAAATTTCATATGAGAACCGATTTTATTACTAAATCCGAAGATGCAAAACTCACTAGACTAAAATTCATAATTTTAAATATTAAATGAAAAAAATTAAACACTAATGCACAATTTATGAAAAAATCTCCTGAATTTTCACAAATTTTGGTCCAATTAACTTTCAGTTAGTTGCTGTTGGGTGGTCCCAGCGAAGGTGGTTGTGTCGGAGTCGGAGGGGCTCCTGACGAAACTGGGGTGCTGCTCCCACTTGGCACTGTGATGGGCTGTTGCTGAGAGGAAAGTCTAGGCGCAGAAGGTGGTCTGGCCCCGAGGTGTTTGTTCTTGATCTTCTCCAAATTGTTGATTCTGCTCCGAACGTGTTCCAGTCGATGCCAGGCCATTTGCAGGACTTTCGCCGAGGCGTAGCCGGACCCTTCGTGCGGTTGGCCTTCATTATAAGAATAAGAAATAAATTTCTATTTTCAATTATTAAAAATTATGCTAATATACCAGTGGAAACTTGAGTGAGGTAGTTGATTTGATCCGAGAGCTTGGTCTCGACGTTGTTGAGGGTTTTCAAAAACTGCGTCGTGTGCGTTTCAGCCTGTTTCAGACTGGACTTTTCCTTGCTCAACTCCAGCAGGGCTTGACCTTTAATAAAGTAATAATAATCAACAACTATAATGATGAGGGTAAATACAAACCAGCGCTTTGCATGCAAGCGATCACATCCGTTTCGATTTGGTTCAGAACTTGAAGCCGGTCCATGATTTGCGACATTTTCTACGGCTCAAAAGTGGAAAAATCCGAAAGGAACAAAATAAAAAGTTTCTGGAAAACAAGTGCTGACGTGGAGGACAGAATTTTGCAGAGATTTTCAACAACAAAAAGGAAAAATAGAGTGCAAGATTTTTTTTGGCCTGATCACTGGTGTTTTCAGAAAAATATAAACAATTCGAATGGCGCGATCTGATTGGAGATTTCAATGCCATGGCTTGGTCCCATTGGCGCTTTTTTGATTAAGAGCGCGCAAAGCACGCGCTCATCTTTGAATTATTTTTTTTTCCATATTTATAATAACTTGATATATGCAATTTTCAAAACCACGGGGTAAGTGACATTTGGCTTCCAAAATATAATATTCAAACGCTTGAAGTTTTTATAATTCAGTTCGTTTATTGAAAATTCAAGCAATATGCATATATTTAAAATGATATAAGAGCCACATTTCATAACTTTCCATGCACTGGTAGAAAATATTATTGGATCTGCATCAAAATTGCAATGAAATAAGTCAATTTAGGTAATTAATTTAAGTCAAAGGGTAAGCAATATCCTGTAAAAAACAAATCAAAGCACTCAACTATACTAACTCTGCAAATGTATTATATTTAATGCCTCATAATATGCATTTATTTCTCTGATTAAAGCAGTCAGAACTAAGATTTTCTGCCACAGAAAGGATTATTTAATTAACAATGTCTTTTCTTCATCTATTTTAAAAAACAAAGAAGCATAATAATAACAATAATATATTCAAACCAAAGCAAATATTTACAACTTGGGAGTTTTTCCCTATTCTCGAAAGTCAGTGGATTTCAAAATACTTTGAAATTAAAAGAGGTTATTGGCGAATAAATTTTTTCCTGCAATCCATCTACCATTCACCCTCGCCTCCCAACTCGAGGAGCACCTTTTCGCAATCCTCCTCTTCCTCTTTCAAGTGATCCCTCTCAAGATGCTCGATGACCACAGCCTCGGAGCGATCGCGGAAGGAGCACTTGCTGCACTGGTAGATGACGTCGGCGTCTGCCAAGTCCTCTTCGGTCTTGGTGGTGTCGACGACCACCGCTTCAGGGTGCCACTTCTTGTTGTGCGCCACCAGCGTTTCCGGTTTCATGAACTGCTTGTTGCAGGCCTTGCAGTAGTTGGGGTTCATGCCCAGGTGCAGCATCGAGTGCTTCTTCCAGTCGCCGAAGGTGTAGTAGGAGGCCTTGCAGTTGGGCTGCCTGCACACATACGGCTTGTACTTGAGGTGGCGCATCACGTGCACCCGCAGCTTCTGCATCGAGTTGAAAACCTTGAGGCACATGTCGCAGGTCACCCTGCTTGCCTCGTTGTGGCTGCGAGTGATGTGGATGTTGCGTCTCGTTTCGCTGTCAAAGGTCAAGTCACAGTGAGAGCAGGGCAGCTCATACACCGTGTCGTGGTCCAGACGGTGCTCAATGTACTCGCTGATGCCTGGCTGCACTTCGTTGCAGGTCGGGCACGTCAGAACTTCGTCCTTCGTCAGGTTTGGAGGGACCTAATATACACACGTATTTTTAATTAATTTTTAAATTATTAACTGAAATCTTAATTAACAATTAAAACAATAATGAACTGAACAAATACCGACAAAAAATTTCCGGAAAAACCAGCAAGAAATATTTGCAAAACTATTTATGCTTTATTGTGAAATAATTATTTGATTTAAATTGGGAATGAATATATTGGGCGTTTCATGTTGCAAACTTATTCGTTAAATTATTCAAGAGATCACCATTAACTTAGCCGAACTGTGCGAGTTATTTTTGTTCATTTCTAAGTACACATAAACCTATTAAAAATTGTCGATAGAATTTTCTTCATTAATATAGTTAGGTTTTAAATTATTCAACCAATAAAAATTAAAACCCACCTTCTTGCTGTGTTTGTTGTTCTTGTGTTTGCGAACAACATTCCTGTGCAGCACCTCCAGACACTGCGGCTCAGGGCAGATGCGGTGCTGCGTCATGTTGGCGATGTAATTCAGCCTGGACTGCTTCAACTCGTACGGAGTGTGGTCCTTGAAGTGGGCGGCCAGGTCCTCGAAGCTGACGAAGGTGGCGTCGGTGCAGACGTTGCAGAAGTAGCGCGCGTCCTTGCCGACGTGGGTGCGTTTGTGGGTGAGGAACGTGGGGTAGCCGTTGAAGCTGAGCTGGCACGCGTCGCACCGGTACAGTTTGCAGTTGTGCTTGGCTGCCGACCACCTCGGCAGCAGACACTTCTTGCACCTCTCCGGCTCGCGTCTGGTGATGTGCCAGGTCAAGTGGGTCTTCATCTTGTTGGGGTGGATGAACAGGTTGCAGTGTTTGCAGGCCATGTGCTTGGTGGTGATGGTGAGGCAGACCTTCTTGTGCGCCCGGAGCTCGGTGGCCGTGGCGAAGAACGAGCCGCAGTTTTCGCACAGCTGCACTTCGCCGCTGGCCTGCAGCTCTTTGTGCAGTCGCAGCAGCTGCTCGGTGAAGAAAACGCTGTTGCAGCAGTCGCATGGCAGGAATTTGAAGTGCTGGTCGTGGTTCTTCATGGTGTGGATGTTAAGCTGCAGGAAATTGTCCATGCTCTCCTTGCAGATCTCGCACGTGAACTTGTTCTTGCCCTTTTTCTTGGTGATGCGGTGAGGAAGGCCCCCTTTGGTGAAAATGTGGTCCTGGATGTGTTTCTTGAATTCGTACAGAACTGGGAAAATTTTGCCACACTCGCTGCAGTGGTAGTTGCCGTGCCAACTTTTGTTGTGCTGCAGCAATCTGCTTCTGTCGGGGAATTCCTTGTCACACTCGTGGCAATATGAAGAAGGGTGAGGTAAGCTATCATTATGGAGCAAGGTCAGCACTGGCAGCGACTTGTGCTGCTCTGGAAGATGCCGATGGCCATTGTCTACATTTCGGGGCTTAGTTTCATACACCTACAATGAAATAGTTTAGATTAGCAAATAACTTAAAAATTCACCTAAAAAGGGAATAAAAATTTTAATCAATTAAAAGGAAATAAAACAAAGATTCTTTTCATGGCAGTTACCGAACACTTCTCAGTCTCTCAATTGTGAAAAATAAAAATATTGATGTGAGAGTGAATCATTATCATTAAAATTTTCAAAAGTCACCTCCTCATTTTATATCAAATTTATCTTCTATTATGGTCCAAAATGAGGAAGTTATCAACTCTATGAATCAGTGTTAGAATTTGAATAATTTCTTTTAAAATTTTAGCCTATATCTTTTACATTTTTTTCCTGATTCAAATTTCCACTTCGATTTTAATAAATTACCATTACCTGACTGCAGACTTTGCAGAAGGAGAAGTTGCTCTCGTCATGGTAGAGGTACTTGTGCTGCAAGAACTTGTGCACAGTGTCGCAGACGACCTTACAATTCTTCGAATCACACTTCTGGTTGATGATCCTGTCGCCGTACTGCTTTCGTGTCATGAAGTACCTTTTATTTCGAGGCCTCAGACCCCGCTGCCTGACGTCTCTCTTCCGTAGCTCTTGCAACTCTTTCGGAAGCTTTGGTGGTTGGAGTTCCTTCAGCTCAGGACTTTTGTTCAACTTTTGTCTAAGGATGCTCGGTTTTGGCTGCGCAGGAGAGCGTTGAGTCTTCATGAGCATTGTGGGGAAGCCCATGTTGGCGAGAATGACGTTCGGCTTCGGAGCAATGCGCAAATTGAACCTTCTGATTCCACCACTTGGCTGAGCCGCTCCCTTATTTACAGGTTCTTCTATTTCTTTCTCTATTTTAATTGGACCCGTCTCTTCAACAGTGAATTCCAAATCGTCATCTTCTGAAGCAGCTTCATTTTTCCTTGTTTTGGGCTGGCTTGCTTTTCGAAAGATTTTCACCCGCTTTGTAGGAACGTCCCTGGCTGGGTTGGACTTTCGACCTCTTTTGCGAGGAGGTTCTATCTGAGAGGTGCCTTCCTGAACTGAAATCTCAACACTGGTGGACGCTTCTTCTTGTGCAGCTGCTTGTTTTGACAATTCATCTTGGGCTTCCAAAGCTTTCACAAGAGCAAATCGAGTTGCCTGAGATTTTTTTTTTTATAAATTTAATTGTTACAAATAATAAATTTTATTTTAACCTCATCGTTGAATTCAGATTGCGTTGCTCGGCATTGCTCTCTGAAATCGTGGAAGGTCTCAATTTTCTGTATGCAGTGCTTGCATACTTTCAGGGGTAGATGGTCACTCAAGTCAACCTGTTGAAAATCTTCAATAATATTTTTTATCAAGATATTTAGAGCTTTTACCTTGACTGGCAGAAATGTGTTGATTCGCTCAACAAGATTGAGGTCGTTGGCCTTATCGCCGAACAGATTGAACAAAAAACTGGCACTCCACACCTTTGCACACAAGCGACATCGGCTTTTCCAGTTATGTGCATCAGCAACTATGGATATCAATTGAATTATTGAATTTACACAAAAATAAAACATGAATCATACCATGATTGAAAGGTTTGTAGATAAGCTTGTCCTTTTCCGAGATGTGCGTAACTTTGATTTGACACTTCTGGCCAACAGCAAGAGACTGCTTTCGTGTACCAGTAACTGGAGTCAAGATCTTGAAGTTTTCCGGCAGACTGGCCAACTGGGGCTGCAGTACTTCGGGAGTTTTAAACGCAACTTGAGTCATTGTTCTTCTACTCCTGAAGTATGGAAATTTATGAATAATTAATACAAAATTAGGTTATTTGAAATGTCCAACAAACATGAAAACTGATGGAATGGCGTTTGGCTTGAGGATGTGAATATCATTGTTGATGGAAATGTAGTCGTCCTTTTTGAAGTGGCGACTGCAAACCGTCCAGTTTTGTCCGTCGACAAGCTCGTGCGAATTGGCATCAAAGTCGTTATTTATTTCAATGCATCGCTGCTCCCACAAGAGACGCCTTCAAAAATCATTCACGTTCAGAATGAATTCGGAAAAAGACACGAATTAAAATCATACTTTTCATCGTCGTCCGGAAATGCGTGAAATAGGACGTTCTCAGCTGCTTCGCATTGCAGCTCGCCGCAACCTTTGCAAATGTCCGACATGACCTGCAATCGAAATTCCACCGAATTAGCTCTTCAAATTTTGTATTTTCTCGATACTTACGCCAGGAACCACCCGATTGTGTGCAATTAAAGTCGTGAATCCATCTACGCAGCCATTACGTCAGGAATTTTTGATTATCCCGCGAACTCAACACTCAACGGGCGGTTCGATGTGGCTTGGCTGGAGAGAAGGCGTTCCCGTTTTCGGGAACGACCTTGAGCGTCCACTTTCCCTTTTTGCCACAAGGTGGCAGCAGCATCTTGAAGCCAGATTGTTGCACATTCTTTGTCCTTCGCCGCCAGAGGCGCCAGAGTCAACAAAATATTTTGTGTGTTACCCACGTGTGATTTTGCGGTCTTGTTAATCTTTAATTTTTACGATTTTTACCATACAAAACATTTGAAATGTTTTAAAATTAGATTTTTCAATTGCATGCGAATGGAAAAATAAGAAAAATGGCCTCAATTACAGGGAACGACGACATTCTCGTTGTTTCTGGCTGGAACAGCGCTTTTATTTTTGACAGAAAAAGGTAAAAAATTTATGGCGCCCCTTCTACAAAAGTATAAATCTTTAAATTAAATTTTATATCATTTCAAGCAAAGTATTAATATTTGCAATTTTTTGTGCAATTCGTTGTTGAAATGAAAATTTTACACACTTTACAGAAAGCATTAAAAAGTAATATTTTTATAATTATGTCCTCATTGCAGTGGTGCCTTTCAGTCCTTGGATCCTCCAAAATCAGAAGACGAAAATGCAGAAACAAAGTTTGTATTTCACAATTAAGGAGGTACTCTAAATTAAAAAATTCTTGCACATTTCTTGCAGAGGTCCAAAGAAAGGGCAAACCAGTTCAGAACACGCAGACAAACACATGGCCAGCCTGGCCCTGTCCAATTGTGGACAATACTTGGCTCTGGCCTCCAGTCGAGGGACAAAGAGCCTCTTCCTCTGGCATCGGGAAGGATCGACCTGGAAGTTTGTCAGTCAGAGAGCTACGGGAAGAGCGGCAAGCCGGATCAGATTCACCAACTCTGCCTCTTCGATTCTGGTTGCTGATAAAGCTGGAGATGTTTACTTGTTTTCAGTGGCAGAACCGCTGAAGGAGAAGGAATGGCTGCTCGGACACATCACAATGCTGTTGGATGTGGTAAAATTACCAGTAAATAATTAAAAAAATTAGCAATTAATAATTTTTTTACAATTAGCTTGTCTCTGACGATGAGAAATTTGTGATAACCTGCGACCGGGATGATAAAATTCGAGTGGCCCTTTATCCGAACTGCTACAACATCCATTCCTACTGCTTGGGACACACATCTTTTGTCACCAGTTTGTCCTTCCTGCCCCACAACCCTGCAGTTCTGATTTCAACCTCAGGAGTGAGATCTGTTAAATTTGAGATTTTCTATGGCTTATTTATAATAATTTCCAGGACGGCAGTGTGAAATTTTGGAATTATCTTGAGGGCAGAGAATTGTTGAGCATTCCCATTGACAAACACGTCCAGTCATCTGACGACGAAGTCTTGCCAATCAAGCAATGCTCGTCGTTGAAAATTTCAACTGATTCATCACTGCTCAGTGTTTGCATTGGAGGGTAATTTTTTTGCACCACTTCTTTGTATTTTATTTTAAAATTTGCTTCCGTATCTAGATCATCCATTTGTCCCATCTTTAAAATAACCGGTCTGGATCAGCTGCAGATGGAACTGGTCTACAAAATTGACTCGGAAGAAGGAGAGATTTGGTGGATGCAGTTTACTTCTGATCGTAACTTGTTTCTACTTCGGAACAGTCCGAGCCGACCAGTTGAGGTTTGGCGTTGTTCTGAAAATCTTGAAATGAGACTGGATGAAAATGAAAAGATTTTTCAAGATTATTCTAACTTGCTGCAAGGTTTGTGATGAGCTCAAGTTAATTTACATTATTTTGCATTATTGATGTTTTGATAGAATGTTTTGCCTGCCCATCCATCCCTTCAATGTTGTACCGAAAGAAATTTGACGAACCTCCAGAAAAGGCCAAGAAAAAAAGTTAAAGGTAGGACAGTTTTTTTTATAATCTGTTTTATAGTGGGGCGTGGATTGTTTTAAATAATTTAAAATTAAGCCGTGATTTAATTTGGTGCTTTTTTGAAATGAAACGAAAATCGCGTTTTCCTTATCTAAGTATTTTTTCGCTTGTTCCAGACGCCTCGGTTTTATCATCTGGAAATTTTCGGATTCTTTTTGTAAAGCAAAGGGGATAATACAAACGCCATATTAGTAAAAAAACAGTTTTTTTTCTTGTCAACATATTTATTATCACGCACTTCACCTCAAGTAATTCGAAGCGCCTCTTCCTTCTTATTTATAATTTGGCAATGGCAAGGGTGACAACATTCGGCAAATTATAAATTAAACCATTTCAGCTGCAAAATTGCTTTGAAACCTTCCTCGGTCGATCATATAATTTTTGTCTCGTCAAATTACTTTCTTAAATAACAAAAATCCTCACATATTTTCAAGAGAGCGTAGTTGCAGAAAAGTTATTTACAAAAAGGCAATTATTCCCGAAAAATTATCGGCGCTTGTTGAAGCCGTCGCCGGTGGGGTCGAGGATCCAGGGGTAGTTGTTGGGGCATTCCATGCAGGTGAACAGTCGCAGGGTCTCTCCTGGCAGCTCCCTGGTGGTCAGGGGGCAGGCGTTGGGCAGCGAGCAGAAAGGCTGGCCCTTGACGTCGCACTTTTCCTTCCACTCGGAGAAGTCGCGCAGACCGGTCAGCTCGGTGGGGTTCTGCATCCATTGGATGACCTAAAGAGAAGAATAAATTGGTTTATTCAAACAGAAATAATAATAAAAAAGAGAAAGAATTAAAATCTAAATAATTAAAAGGTTGTTGGAACTATTTTTCCAATAAAATTAAATTGTGATTTGTAATCAATTAATTGCTCATAAAGTTATAATAGTTAAACTTATTTTTATAAATGCAAAAGATTTAGAACTTCAAGGAGAGGCGTTCGCAAAAAAAACGGCCCAATCAATAAAAAAAAAGTTTCAAGAAGACTTGTATGAAAAAATTTAATTTATTTGGAGAACGGAATTTATGAGATTTAACATAGTTTTTTTTATGGGAATTTTCTAAAAGATTTTTTCTTCTCAAAATTTGCGCTATCAAAATCGGATAAAATTATCAGAAAATCACGTTAATATCACCCCAATTAAGATTGAAAAATAAAATCATTAGGTCAGTCGACATCAAAAATTTACATTGATCTTATGGAAAAGGTTGAGAATCTTTTTCAGTGTAGATTTCAGAAGCTCCTATTTAAATTTCAAAATCTGGATAATTCAATGGTTTTCAGATTTCTGATCTGTTTTCTTAATAACCATATTTTATAAAATACACTTTCAAATTTGAATTTTTTTACTCTTATTAGTTATTCCTGAAAGATTAAGGACTAAAAACTGAAAAAACTGCTTATCGGAATTTTTTGTACCTGAAGGTTGGTGACAAAGTAGACATCGTTGCGGTCAAGCATTTCCTCGATGAACTTGATCAGTTCTTCCTTGTACTCCTTCTTGCTCTTCAACCACGAGGCGGAGAAGTGCAGACCTGAAATATTTCACTCGTAAATTCAATCCTGCATAAATTTAGGAAAAAAAATTTACCAAGAGGGGCCCTGTTGCTGTTGAAGTGGCGGTTGAAGTTGTGGCGGAGGAGGCGGCCGAACTGGTCGCCGGCCTGGATGTTGGAACAAGAGTCGACCATGTGACAACCGGGCAGGGACTCGTCGAAGGAGGGATCGTCTCTGCGGTCCAACTCGTTCATGACGATTTCCCAGACGGGGTGGCTCTTGCTGGGGCAGTTCTGGGCGTTGCCGTTGCACTTGTGGGGCATGCGGAAGTAGAGGGTGTAGGGCCAGATGGGCACGCGGCCCAGCGAGGCGGTGATGGACGCGTCGTACACGAAGAACTGGTCGGCCATCATCTCGAACTGTTTGTTGCCGCCGACGCGCAGGTAGGGCGCGCGGACGCCGATGATGCTGCCGTCGGTGATGTTGGCGAAGCGCTCGATGATGAGGCGTCCGCCGGCCATCTCGGCCAGCCAGTCGTCGTACGAGCCGGACGTCCAGTATTTGGGCTCGTCGCGGTGCGTGAGCGAGAAGACGGCGATTTCGTGGCCGCGCCGGTGCAGGTCCTGCACGGCCGAGTAGTTGGAGTATTTGTGGTTCATGAAGAAGGTCGCCTTGATCTGGCAGCCGTTCGGGTTCTGGCGCTGACCGTTGAAGATCTCCTCGTACAGGTCGATATTGTCGATGTTGATGGCGCCGTTGAACGTCAGCGTGATCATCTGCGGCACCTGGTTGGGCTCGATGTTGCCGGGGATGCGGGTGCCGTCGGCGGAGCAGAAACAGTCGGGCAGAACGCACTGGGTGGGGTCGCAGTCGGGGGCACGGTTCGGGTCAGTCTCCACGGCTGGAAGGGTGGGAAAAAAATACTAAATTTTTGTTCAAAATTTCAAATATACTAAAATAATGTTTTGGTGAAAATATCAATTCTAATCAAATTTGAGTTTTCCCATAATTGTTGTTCTTTTAACTGGAAAATATATTTATTTATAATATTGCAAAACTTTGTTTAAGTGTACAATAATTATAAAAAAAAAGAAAATAATTTATATTCTAAAAAAATGTTTCGTATAAATTTAGAGAAATATGTTCTGAAGCTCAATGTTAATCTTTAGTACCAGCTTGATTTTATTTTGCTAACTTCAGCTAAGAAAAAATAAAATTTTTATCAATTTTGGTCAAGATGATTTTGAGAAATCCGCACAGGGGTTTTTTTTAAATACACTCTTATATAGTTGATTCCATGTTAAATAATTAAAAATGACCTCTAAAAGCATACAAAATATTTGTAATCTATGAAAAAAAATCAAAAGTTATTGGGTTTTATGCAGAAAACCCTCTTATTACCTTACTCAGTTAGTATTTTATTTTAGTTTCTAGTCTCAAATACGTAACTAATTGCGTTTTAATTAATGATTCAATTGATTCATAATATTGTGTTAATTCAAAGAAAAATCGTACATATTGAACACTATTTTTAATTTTCGACTTCATTAGGTTTCAATGATAATTTGAACTTACAACAGGCGTTCTCGTCAGAGCCGTCCTTGCAGTCGGGCGTGTCGTTACAGAAGAGCTCCTTGTTGATGCACTCGCCGTTGCCGCAGCTGAGTTTGCCGTCAGGGCAGACAGGTTCGTCTGTCTTCAGGAGAGGCTGCACCTTGCGCGGCTCTGCGTTTGGAAAGTAGTGTGTGATTTTGTGTTTTCGGTTAGGGAAACAGAAAAGGTGTTAGAGGCGTAAACGGCGAAAGAGACAGATTGACAAGAATTTCTTCTGTATTGGTGATCTAAGATTTATATTTTCGCTCTCTCTGTACACTACGAGACCTGCAAGAGGTATTTTCACCAAAGAGACCTTTAAAGTTTTTCATCGGAAGAAATTTTTCACCAACACACGAGAAATGTACACTTTTAATTTTAAAGATGGTTCATGAATATTTTAGAAAGAGTAAAGAAAATGAAGCATTTCTTAAAATAATAAATTCCAACACCAACGTGCAAATCGCAAGCAAATCTCATGCAAAACTGAAATGCGCTCATGAAAGGAAAAATGGAAAAGTGATGGAAGAACATGGTCTAGGGTGATATGCATTTGAAACGAAAATTGATAGACATAGAAGGAAAATTTCAATTTTGGGATAATGGGTGGGAATTTGGAGGGCTAAACATTTTCCTTGCGCTGTATGTACATTCAATTTTGCGTTGTGCGAAGCGAGTCTACTTTTACTTTTCAGCCTTCAAAGTCCCGATCGACTTTCTGTGCATTTAAATTAAAAATTCAACCAATTGATTAAAAAAAAATTGCCAGTCACCTTTTGTATCAAACTACTGAGCAATAATAATAATAAATATGGATTAAATATTGAGTGCAACCATCAGTGCTAAATTTCAAAAATTAATTCAAATCTCTTCAGCCAAATCTACTACTTTGTCCCTGAACTTACTGTCGACTTGGTTGCAATTTGTGACTTTTCCTTTCCAATCGCAAGTTTGTTTTTCGATATCAAAGGCTAAGCCACTGGGACAAGAGATTTGTTTAATGCCCGATTTGGTACATCTGCAAACAGCGAACACAGAGAGGGCCATTAGCAAGGGGCAATGATTTCGGGTCCTAGAGTCGCGGGTTCGGCACCGGCCGGGCCAGGTGGGAAATCGAGACTCTACGAGCCCACAACTTACTCTCGAGTTTATCACAGTTCTTGACATTGGTCTTCCAGTCACAAGTTTGTCTGTCAATGTCGAAGGCGAGTCCAGTCGGACAACGCACTCCAGCCAAACGAGTGCCTATATTACCACCTGCTTTGTCGCACCTAAGTTTCGCGTCGGAACAACAAAAGTTGCGTTACGTTCCAAGTTCAACAAGTGATCAATCAAAACTCGGAGCAAATATGAAAATTTTAATTATTTTCAGAGAAAAATATTTTATAATTCTTCGTCCCCACTGTTAAATTTGTTATACCTGACGACGTCTCTGCAGTCTCCTTCGGTGGTGAGGCGGAAGTACTCGTCGGGGGCTCTGTTTTCGCACAATTCGTCTACGCTCTGCGACGCGTCACCGTCGTCGTCGTCATTTTGTCTCTTAAACCGAGCACATTCTGAAAAAAAAACCAAGAAATTTTTTTAGTTTCAATCAATATCTATTTTCTAGAGTAAAAACACGCAGCGTATTGAAAAAAAATTAAGTTAATCACCAGATTTAAATCTAGTTTCTTTATTTAGAGGAAAAAATTGCAAGTTGAATTTGAAAAGTATTCATAAATCAATTGCAATTCTAACATTATTTTGAATTTGGGTGTAAATTGATGACGAGATAGCCCCTGCGCGTAACCAGCTTATGCAACCCGCTGGACGTTCATGTGTAGGGTGGTTGCATGCTTCAAATTTAAAAAAAAAGTAATTTTCCTTCACTGGCAACTAAATATTTTAAATTATTTATATTTGTAATATTATTATTTATAAATCAACTTTTTAATATCAAAGTAAGAAAAATAATAATAATCATAAGATTTTGTTCTACTTCTGCACGTTCTGTCTTTCTAAATATTACATTAATTGAAAACAATGGTGTCTGAAATAATCACGCAGCGTGCAATTTGTGCAATTTTTTCTTTCCTGCAACAAAACGACCTCCGCATTAAAATCCTCCCACGACTCCCACGATTCATAATTTTTTAATTTTTATTTTATCACAATCCTTTGTTCTCGAGGGAAAAGCGAATCAGCTCGAAAGAGAGAAAGATGAGATGGCCCCGATGTGCTGACCTTTATTTTAATCGTTCTTTCACTCTCCTGGCCCGAGGCCCACTTCTCTCTCTGCGCGTTCTACCTGGTTCCCCCGCTCCTTTCCCTTTCTACCCGATGCGATAGGGCATGGCTCTGATCACCGCATCATTATTCAGTACGGACACACCTCGCTGCATTAAAAAGAAAAAAAGGAACTGACCGACTGGAGGGATAGAAAGTTGCAATTGAAAAATAATCTCGGCACACAAGAGATTCAGGAAGCGTTTTGCTTGTTAATCATTATATTGAATGAAATTGAATCGGCTGAAATTCGCAACGCCCGATCGGTTCTTGTGTGCATATCATTAAGAAGAAGAAGAAGAAGTGAAAAAAAAAGAAAGAAGTAGTTTTGCTCGCAGGTATAAATGGATCGAGAAAGGCAAGATATAGCCGGCCGCGTGAAAGCGGTTTTAGCAAGTGAAACTGACCCTATAAACCTACTTATTAGCACGAACACGCTCTTTCTCCTCTCCGTATGCTGAGCGAGGAATTGGCAAAAAGACGAAAGAGAGAGAGAGAAAGATGAAAAAAGAAAGAGCAGATATTAATCGCGTCGAGCCAACAAAGTGCACTTTCGAGCTGCGGTTCTCCGGACTTTTGATTTCGAAAGACGAATTAGCAGATTTTTGCAATCGTTGCGCAATTAAAAAAAAGCACGTTCCCATAACGTGTGAATTAAAACAACTTGGCTCCTTCATTAAGTTTTAAATATGAAAAATTATTTATTACATTTCTATCCACAGAATATTTAGTTCATTTTTTATACTAACTTCAAATTGATCTTGTTCAACCTAAGTTTTTCATCAAGTTTTAAATTTTATAAAATTCTTGATAAAGCAAGACAAGTTTTTGCATCTTACCTGATGTGACAAGGAGGGCTACGCAGACAGCAGCAATAGCCAAGCGTGACGTCATTTTTTTGTGCCGGACGACCTGGCAGTTGTGCTGAGAAAGAGAGTCCTCGGATCTGTCGTGGTCTCGCGCGTACCGCTGTTCTGCGAGACCTGTGGAGGGCACGAAAGCTCTGAGCGGTAAGAAGGTACAGGCGCTAATCCTAGCCTATATATTTATACTAGGCGTCGGTGCGCATGCGCCGACTTTCTTCTGCCACCCTGCGCCTCCTGCCCTGAGCGCCCTTTCCATCACGTAGTGCCCTCAAGTGGGTCTCGTCCACAACTAAATCGCATCTCGAGTAAAAATGTGAGAGTGCACGCAGGAAAGTATGCGCTGCTTTTTCTGTCTCTCGTTCGTAGGCTAAATCTGGCCCGGTTTTAATTGTGGTTTCCAACAGTTTAATCGACGCTAGAAAACAACGGCGTTTAATTGCGAGAATTTCACTTTTCTTGTCACTCGATGTTATTATTGGTTATTTTTGTAAATTCGTTATGCTTGAACGGCTCGATAAAGTAAAAGTCGTCGCATTAGTATTTATCTGGGAAATTAAGTCATTAACATGAGAGCTTTTCAACATTCAAACTCGTTCATATCGCAAAAATTGCTTTTACTGAAAAAGTAAGGAGAGGCTTTAGCAAAAAAAAAAAACGACTTGATCAATATTGATGGTAATTTTTCCTCTCCATTACCATAGCTTTGATTTATAGATGTTAATTCCAAAGAGACATGGTGAGAAAAATTGAATTTACTGTGATAACTGAATTTTTCAAATTCCAATAATTTTTTCACAAAATTAGCCTGATCGAAACTAATAAAAATTTCTAAAAATCACGTTCACATCATCCATATTAAGATTGAAAAATAAAATCATTAGGTTAGTAGACATAAAAAATTTACATGGATCTTGTGGGAAAAGGCTTGGAAGTTTTTTTAACAGTGTAGATGTCATAAGCTCCACGTTAAATAAAAATTTCGCACGTTGAAGTCTCTCCGTGCTTCGGAAAGTGGCACTGGTGGAATAATTGTGACCTGCCTTAAATACGTGATATTTAATGTAATGAGCAATTACACATGAGCTGAATCGCGAGTGGACACTCGAATTTCGCATCCAACCTACAAACCTTGAATTGAAAAGGAGGATGCTTTTCAAATCACCTTTCATACTTCCATTTCGCTCTGCACTTCTTGGCACTTGCAGAATTTATTTGCCATCACTTTTTACCTCATTTCGAATGCAACGCCGACGGGTTCAGTCCGTTCACCCCAAATAGAAATTCGGCTCGCTTCTGTGCAGTTACGAAATAAATATTCTACAACGTTCGAAAACGTGATCATTTTTTTTCTCGGAATTACTTTTTCACTTCTCGAAGGTGTAAAATTCAAGGACTTCTCTGAATTTCCTTGGACGAGCGCCAGATTTGTTCAGATTGATCAACTCTTGCTGGCGAATTTTGTTTTCTTGTCGGGTAAAAATATTCAGGCCCCTGCAGATGTGCTTCAGGGTGGAGAGTTCAGGGAAAGTTGCCTTCAATATCAGCGTCTCGATTTTTAAATCCCGTTACGCGCTCGTTTTGTACTTTTATTGTAAACTCGGCCACTTTCAGTGTATCTGAAGAAGGCTTTATTAAATATTAAATTAAGTAAAAAAAATTTTTTTGTTTAAAATTCTATCTTTGTTTGGACATTGATTTTCCCCGAGTACGAATTTTCCCTTCTGGACCAAATAAGGTCGCGACCTGGTACCCTGAATATGAGCGAGAGAGTCGCCGGTATTTTTGTATGTACGACGCGGCAGGCAGCTCGACTCAGCACACCGCGTGGTTTATTTAGTGGAAAAGAAACGAGTTTAAAGAACCCGTTCTCGATCACATCAGAGTAAAAGTAAAAAGGTCACAAAAATTTGTAAATTAAGAATTATAAAAGAAACCCGTTTGATGTCGGTTGTGTGCACGAGAGCGAGGAGAGTATCTCTCTGTTGGGCACATGTCTGTCCGCGCGCGCGGTGAATTGTGATTGCACACACCAGACAAGCCATTATTCCCGACACCGGTCTGCCTAATTTGCTAAATTATATGCGAAAGGGCCGCTCTAACTTCGCCTATGCGCACGAACGCTCAAATTCGGCGTTGTTGCTTTTATTGGTGATTTCGGTGGCGTAATTTTATTGGTCTCACTTTTTAACCTATGCAGTTATACCTCAAATTATGTTTCACGTTGAGAAATTTGCTGGTGAAAATTGCTTCTTTTAGTGACCATAATTGAACACTTTAATTTTGAATTTAATTTTTTTTTTTAAATTGATTCCTTGGCTATTATTTTTGTACTTTTTTGTCCAATTGCATTAAAAATTATCAATTGTTGAACAAAACGGCATCACCACTGCTAATATTAAAAAAAATGAACCACTGGTTTTTTTTTAATATGACACACGTTAGGAGTCAGAATATACAGTTGAGTTCAAAATTCAAGGAGCTTTAACAGATTTAATAATATTAAATTTTCGTTTAATTATTTAGTTTTTACAAGATTCTTGCTATTGGTGGTGACGTTTTTTTCCAATTAATTTCTTTTCAAATAAATTGTTATTAATACTTGAAAGTAAACAATGTGATGTATCGTCAAATAAGCAATAAGCAACAATAATAATTAAATTAAATTTTTTTTATTGACCGAGAAGAATAATTAATAATAATGTCCTGGCCGATTTTGTGCAACTTGAAGACTCCTTATTTACATAGTCAAATCAAGTCCTCACAACAATAGAAACAGATTTTTTTATTTTTTTTTTAGGAAGAAAATTGGAAATTTTCATCACCATTGTTTTAAATTCTTGATTTTACTAAGCCAATGATGAGTCCTTAAGAGGTGGAAAAAAATGCGTAACACTTTTCTTAAGTAGGTAAAAATTTGGGTCTATAATATGAACTTTTCAGTTTTCTCTAAGCCCAACGACTGAAAATGTTCCCAATTTGGAGATCAACAGATTAATCAAGAATAGGTTTAAAATTTTCATATAAAAAGTAGATTTTAATATTGCTTTTCTGTGGATTTTTAAAAGAGGCACTGCAGCTGAAGTCGACTTAGGTGATTTATTTATTTATTCGTTCAAATTATTTAAAATTTTAACCACCTCACCAAATTGTTTTGGAAATTTTTAACGCACACTTAAAAGAAATAATAAATAATCATAGTATTTTTAAATAATTTATTACCTAAAATAATGCAAATAATGTTAACATCTCTATCTGGAGTATCTGGACTTTTGCCAGAATCTGTGGTGCAGAGATTTCTTTCTACATGAGAAATTGAATCTGTCCGTTTAAAGTATGCACTTAAATTATCGACCGGCTCCAATTTTATTGAGGTGGCGCATCATAAATATGCAAGTTTCGCCTTCGCGTTGGAGACGACGATCCCTTGGCTCGATCGCGGAGAGAGAGAAGCGGCTGTGCGGAATTTCTCTTCGCAACTTCTCCATCAGCATTACAAACATCTTCTCTGCATTATTTTGTACATAATGCATCATGTACTATCTCCGCGGTGGCATCGGCCGGCGCTTATTTATTACCCAGGGTTCATTTCGAGTCGTAGGAGCAACGGCCCAGCTAGAGGTGACATAGAGGAGAAATGCTCACGGGGCGAGCCGGCCACATTCTTCAAAAGGGTGAGGCGCTGCTGCCGAGAATATACGAGAAATCGAAAGCAGGAAAGTAGTGCTGTTGTTGTTTGTTGTCTTCTCATTTAATTATTCAAGGCGCCGCCGCGATCATCTCCGCCCAACGCGTCACCCGACTTGTTTTCGGCGGCGTAGTTTTTCTAGTTACCCAATCCGAATTTTCTCGAGACTGATATTTTTTTGTTTTTCGGTGACGCACGAATTTTTTTGCTTCCTGTGTATAGTGATCTTTATTGAACAACCTTCGGCAAAACTCTAATAAGCAGAGTGACTCACCAAATAAATTAGAAATAATAAAAGAAAAATATTAACACTCATGTTGGTGCAGCATAATTCTCCGTAGAAAGTGAATTATTTTTTGTTATTTTGAAGTGGCTGTATGATAAATAAAATTGCACTTTTTCCGCACAATGACAACTTTTCTCCAAATGCAGAGGCGTCGTTATTCTTCGGACTTTCTACTGGAAAGGAATATTTAACTGCACATTGTAATAAAGGGTGCAAGCTCGAGTGTGTGTTTATCTCAACGCCGATTTTTTTCAAGTAGCGTCGAGAACTGAAAGTGAAAGTCATTGCGGTAATGAGGTCTGCTTCCCTATGCTCTTTTTGCGCCTCTCGAATTGGCACGCCTTGGAAGGTTTCGTCGTCTCTCGTTTGTAGATCAGTGTGACAATTTCCTTACCTGGTCAGGGCGAATCACTTGCCGTGCAGCGGCCTTGGTAATGAAACACGCCCTTAATTTCGCCTGTTTGTGTTGAGACAGCCTTCAATTGTCGACTTTTATCTCCGAGAGATATTTTATTGACAGCTACTCTACAAACCGTCGAGTGAAAAGAGAGCACGGAAACGGCGCCGGCTTGCCAATAAACCTCATCACGCGCCGGTACGTGGTGTAGATCGACTAATTTTTAAACGCTCTCGCGGGTAATTTGAGTAATTATAATGTGGGGCAATCCGCCGGAGATCTAGATTTGCCAAATAATTTGCATATATCTGCGCGGCGTGTTACATCAGAGGCGAACTTTTTTATTTCCTTCTCCACCCAAACTGGATTTTATGATTAGTCAGAGGCAAGTTGGCAGAAAAAAGCTTGACAATAGAGCCTATTGAATATTCAGAATCATAGATAGCAACTCTTCGCGCACAATGAAAGCAGCCGCGAGAGAAAGAGCCGCGACCTTTAATGTAGTCTAGACGCCCTATTTGACCCAGATGCGCAAAACTTCCTGAATAACACGGGAGAGAAAGGTGTTTTTCATTTTCCAAATGTCATGCGATGTAAATTATTTGCGCGCGAGGAAGGAATTGATTGAGGAAAGCATAAGCGGGTTTTATACATGAAATTATTTTTATTTCATCACAAGAGATGGTTTACAAAATAAGTCGATGACTTGAATTATGTATTAAAATTATTCTTTATACCCATACACACAATATTAATGGCAAGATGTTTCTTTTTCTTCGTTTCACAATTATACAGCAATTAATTAGTAATGGAACTCGTTGTTTGTCGTAACAGTCCTTGCTTACAATTAGCTCTTTTTATTTAGTCGTTTTTGTTGCTCATTTAAATATTTGCCTTTTTCTTGGAAATTTTGTGAATTTGCCATTTTATACGAAAGCCTTCTTACACAGGCGGTGTTTTAAGTTCCAGAGAATTTAAATTACTAACGCATTTAAATTATGATTTTGATCTGCGTCGGCCGCGCATGAGAAGAGGATTCTTTCTTTTTCATTTAAATAATTAACAGAAACGATCAGCCATGCGCAGGCGACCCTTTCAGTATTCGAAAATACTTTTTTTTTTTATATATTCTCACATCTTTAAATATTTAGGCACATCGTGGTTGTCTCTTTAGAAGAAACCGTCTCCAGTGGGGTCGTTGACCCAAGGGTAGTTGTTGGGGCACCTGACGCAGGTCTGCAGGTTGACGGTCTGTCCGGGCAGCTCTTTGCTGGTCAGCTTGCAGGCGTTGGGCACCCAGCAGTGGGGCTTTCCCTCGACGGTACACTTTTCGCGCCAGGGCTCAAAGTTCTTGACCTCGGAAACGGTGCGGGGATTCTGCATCCACTGGATGACCTGGGTCATAGTGACGAAGTAAACGTCGTTGTGGTTGGCCAGAGTCTCGTCCACCCAGTAGAGGAAGGCGTCAAGATACTCAGGGTTGTTCTTCAGCCAGGCGGCGTGGAAGTAGAGACCCAGAGGGGCGCGGTTCTGCTCGTAATGGCGGTCAAAGTTGTGATTGAGGAAGTTGTAGAACTGGTCACCAGACAGGATGTTGGAGCACGAGTCCACCATAGCGCAACCTGGCAGGTAGTCATCAAAGTTGGGGTCTTCCCTGCGGTCCAGCTCGTTCATCACCATCTCCCAGACGGCGTGACTTCTGGTCGGGCAACTCTGCAGGTTGCCGTGACAACGGTGGGGCATCCTGAAGTACAATGTGTACGGCCAGAGGGGAGGGTTGTGCAGGGGAGCGGTGATGGAGCTGTCGTACAGGAAGGCCTGCTCCTCCATCATGGTGAACTGGTTGTTGCCTCCGACACGCAGGTAGGGAGCCCTGACGCCGACGACCGAGTTGTCAGTCATGTTGGCGAACTTCTCGATGATGATACGCATACCAGCCATCTCCTTGGCCCAGTCGTCAACGGTGGCGTTGCTCCAGAACTGCTCGTCATCGTTGTGGCTGAAAACAAACAAACACACACAGATAACCATCAAAGTCTGAATCTACAAGAAGGTTGAAGTTAACTTACGTGATGGAGTGAACGGCGATTTCGTGTCCCTTGCGGTGAGTTTCCTGGATGGCAGAGTAGTTTGAGTACTTGTGTGAAACGAAGTAAGTGGCCTTGATGTCGCAGCCGTTGGGATTCTTCCTCTTGCCGGTGTCAAACATCTCCTTGTACAACTCGATGTTGTTGTTGTTGATGGCATCATCAAAGGTGATGACGATCATCTGAGGAACGTCCTTGGAAGGAAGGTCTCCGGGAATGGAGGTTCCGTCCTCAGAGCAGAAGCAGTCAGGAAGAACGCACACGGCAGGGTCGCAGGGAGGAGCGCGGTTGGGATCATTGTCAATGTCTGAAAATGAAAAAAAAAATCAGAAAAGTCCAAACGGTAGAGCTGGAAAATAATTACCGCAAGAGTTCTCATCAGAACCGTCGCTGCAGTCCTTCTCTCCGTTACAGAAGAGGCCGCGCTCGATGCAAGCTCCATCACCGCAGGCCAGAGAGCCTTCAGAGCAGAGGGGCTCGTCGGTGTTGAGCAAAGGCTTGACCTTCCTCTCCTTGCTCTTCAGCTTGCAGTTCTTGACCGCGTCCTTCCAATCGCAAGTCTGCTTCTCAATATCGAAATACAGACCAGCGGGACAACGGATGGCTTGCAGACCCTTTAAATTTAATCAATTTCGTTAGCCCTGATTTGAATAATAAAATAAAAAGAAGTTAAACGTACAGAGCTAGTACACTGGATGACATCACGGCAGCTGTCACCCTCGCCGGCAGTCAGTCGGAACCATTCGCCAGCGTCCTTGTCCTTGCACAACTCAACCTCGAAGTTTTCATCTTTCTTGCTGTCGTCCTGGCGACGGATTCTTTTTAAAATTTCAGACGCATCTGCGCTAACTGCAACAAACAATATAAAAAAATGCAGAATTTACTGGTTTGCTTTTGTTCGAAAATAGCCCTCAATTGCAGCTCAGGAGAAAGCACAAATAACCCCGAGCGTTGCCGGTCGCTTTCTTAAAATTGAAAGTGACTCGATCGATTTTTACCCAGCGGTGCAATGCTCGTTTCAATTTGTTGTTCTGCGCGTGCATGTTTAAAAGGCGTGGGTGAAAATTATGATCGTTCTGGAATTCTCTACACGCTTTACTGAATTTCATTATGCAACACTGACTGCATTTCTCATATATTATTAACAGAAAGTGTGAAGTCGTTGCGCAAGACCGGCGCTACTATTGAAGTTTCTCACCACACCGAGAAATGTATAATTGCCAGTTAACTTAATTAACGGGCGTCGTCGTAAAAAACGACGCTAATTGTTTCGCATTTAGGCTCCGGCGCGATGTCACATTCGGAAAAAAAAGCAAGCTCATTGACGTGGGGCTGTGAACCCGAGGCTTTGAAAGTTGCTCGAATGTCCTAGTAAGTAAGCATCCGAGCACTTACTCTCGGTACATTAATACTGAAGCAGTTAGTGAAATCTCGCATTAACAGCTCTTGAACATTGGCGTCGAGAAAGAAAGGAAGCGAGAGACGCCCTCGACCTCTTTTTAACGGTGCTGCTACCGACTTGCGCATTTTTTTTTCATCAATTAATTTTCTCTGATGGGAGGGCTCCGATTAGCACGCGCCGGTCTAAATGAAGATCATAAATTTAAAAGCTTCCGACCAAAAAATTTCTCCTTATTCGGGGTTGAAATATTTAAATAGAAACACGCCTTTGTGAACAAGAAAAAGAAATGCAGAGCCAAGGTTTGAGTAATTAGCGAAGCGACTGTTGCATGCGTTAAAGTTCCCAGGATGCACACGGTCACAATCTCAAGAATTATGAAAGCATTTTAATTTAATTAACATTAAGATGTGCATTCACATTTTATTTATTCAAGGCGCATTGAGTCTCTGCATAAAAATTATTTAAAATTCAATAAAATTGTTGATAAAGAAACAAAATTTAACCATTGAAGATAATAAAAAATTAATTAATTTTTTTAAACTTCAAACTATTGCGAATCGAAATGCTGTTGTTGAGAGGACTAAAAAAGCACTTTGAGGAAAAATGATAACTTACCGTGAGCTAGGGCAACTGAGAAAATCAAGAGGCCTAACGCCAGATGTGCCTCCCGTCCCTTCATGATCCTGACTGAAGAGTGGCCCGGCCAAAGCTCTCCCTGACTACCTAGCTAGACCTTTACCTGAGCGGGAGGGGGGCGCGCAACTTTCACCTGCTTGCGCCGCGACGATGCCCGCGCGCGCCGCGAGTTCACGCTGCTCGTCGTTACTCTAGGATGGAACCGTACCTACTTTGCCAATGTATAATTGTAGTCGTGAATGAACAGCTCATCTCTTTCTCATCAATTAACACGCGCAGAGATGAAACGAGGCACCGAATCGTCGGTTTTTCGCTTTTGCAATCACGCGCACCACCCGATCGGAGGTGCTGATTGAGCAAATCGATCGATGTGCAAATAAATTGCGAATCTTTCTCGATCAATTGGATGCGAAATTCGAGCAGCGCGCAATCACTGCCGCGTCCATAAATAACACCAACCGACTTTCCCTGCAGCGCTGCCAAGAATCTCGTTTTTCTCTCAATTTTTCCTGCACTTCATAGAAAACGGGTTGGTCGACTTCTATATTTTCATTGATAACCAAAGAGAGAAATTTATTATTTTTTTTTATTCTTTTTATTCTACATATTCTGTCAACTCCACCTTCCTTTGGTCGAGGCTGCAGCGCGAGCGACCAATTTCACCGTTACATATCATAAAGCAGCTACCTGTCTTGAGCTTTTGCGGCTTTGCTGACAGATATATGTTTATCTCCCACACACACACATACCGCTTGTTGGTCGCTCGCACTTGACTCGTGTCTCATTAATCAATGAAATTTCTTTTCTGCGCCCTCAAATGAACGCCCCACTATGAGCGAGGCGAGCGAGTGGCCCAATTTGCATTAACGGATAGTTTGCCTTTAATTGCTTTTTTTCCTCATAAAAATAACAAAGGAAAGAGCAAACAAAGATTTATAAATTATAAAGTAGAATAAACAGCAATGATAATTTAATACGATATATTTTTAGCAGAGTTTATTTCATCACAGGCGTCTTAGTTCTAAAATTTATTTATAGGTAATAAATTTTCGAATAATTTTCTCTTATAAATAAAAAAAAATTTTTACTTAATTTTATTCATAGAAATAAATTTTTTTATTCAATTTTGATTTAAAAGTTAAATTTTTGTATTTTATTGGTGTGAAGAAATTGACACTTGAAAAGATGATCATGGAGATGAAGAGACCGGGCTTTTCCTAGATGTAAAAATTGTTTCTATTAAAGGAAACGGCTCTTGCGGTTTTGGTCACGGTCTGCGACCCCATTTCATGAGCAAGAAAAATACAAAAAATTCAGTAGCTGCATTTGTTAGTTTTTAAGATTTTGAATTTTTATGTTAAAATTTGGTGTTTTTCAATTTGCTAATTTTTGTATTTTTCTTGCGCATGAAATAGGGTCGCAGATCGTGACTGAAACGGTAGAGCCGTTTTGTTTTTGAATAAAAACAATTTTTACTATGAGGAAAAGCTCCCTTAAATTTTATTTTCATGTTAAATTTAATTTTGATAATGTTTAATTTTCTTCATTTTGAGTGCCGTTAAAAAATTAAATTATTACTTTTTCTTATCTAAAATTTTAATTACAAAACTTTAAATACTAATATATTCATCGCCGAGAAAGAAAAATTAAATTATAATTCTGAAACATTGTCTGGTTTTAGATTGAACAATTGCACTCTAATTTATTAATTTGAAAAAAAAAACTCCTGTTTTTTGTGAATTTAAAAAAAATTCTAGAGTTGATTTTAATTTAACAATTTGATTCATGAAAAAAAAATACTTGAATTGACGGTCTCTTAAGTGAAACATTTGAGGGATTAAGGTCACTTGTCGCTGGTGATGAAAATCTAGAGGAATGCAGGATCAGAAAGCAGCTCGACAGCATAAAAAATAAATAGCATAAATCGAACGCTTAAGTGGCTTATTAATATTTTTTGGAGGCTGAAATTCTGCACGGCACGATTATATGCGTATTCATGAGTTTTTTTGTGTTTTGTTCATTGACACGGCAAGGTGATATGTTTGCGTTCATTTGCATGCGTAATGACAGTGCCAAAATAAAACGAAATGTCACCAATAAGGAAGCGGGAAACATCCGCGCGGCCAAATGGAGCAAGGCCATAATTAAGAATGCTCCTTGTCCCGCTCTCATTATCTCTCTGCACCGGGCAAGGCCTTTTAAGGCGTTGTCCCTTTTGCGACTTGATCTCGTCACTTAAATTGACTTTCGCAAGATTAAACCAAAATACATACTTACTTACATGCACTGGTTTCATGCTTGGCCAAACAGAAAATACATAACAATATCATTGGTTTGCCGCGGCCTTTGCTGCCAGTTTGTCCACTTTGCATCCGGAAGCATATTAAACGCTGGACACGCAAATTTCTCCGATTTGCGGCTGCTCTTTTTTGCTTGTTCGCGTCACTGTTTGAAGCAAATCCACGGTCATTTCCTCATGATTGCAATCTGTCGAGAGCACGAGACTATTATTATTGGCCAGACGCATTCTTTTCCTGCTTTTTTATGCTTCCTTCAGAATGCAGCAAAACAATAATTAAATTTAAATTGACTCTGAATAACTCTGGTTAGTAAAGATATATAATTACAAAATATATAGGTATCTACTTTTGTATTAAATAAAAATTATATTTCATTTTTTGATCAGTTCTCAAAATGATATTTCTTATTTGTAAAAATATTTCTCAAACATTTTACATCAAGCCATTCAATATTTTTGTTTTGTCACCGCAATTGGGATGATATTAAGTTGATTTGAATGAATTTTCACTGGTTTTATTCAGGTTGAATTCTTATTATTATTATATAAATTTTAGAACATTCTCTTAAATATTTATGCTTCATTTTTAAATTCAGTTTTCAAGATTAAATTATAAACTATTATTAACCGTGAAACCCAGTTCAATCTCAATGAATATAATTCTATACAGATTACTTGCACAACTGACGAGACTAGTTTATTGAAATAACAAAATGCAATAAAAACACAAAAATATTTATTCCATGATAAATTTTTAAAAATTTTTAAATAAAATTTAATAAAATTAAAATTATATTTTACAATAAAAAAATCTATCGAAAATTATGAAATAAAATTATAATTTTATAATGTTATTCAAATTTTTTTTTATCTCAAACGGGAATCATTAATATTGAAAAAAGACCAATTTTTTTTAGTGAAAAATTTTAACTTCGAGTAATTACAAAAAAAAAATCACTTCAAATATTTTCTTACAAAATTATTCAAAAACGTGCTATTCTAATGAAAAATTTCATATATTTGCTTATAAATTTTTCCAAATGTCAGTGTCTGATGTCGGAATTTTCAATAATGATTTAAATTCCAACCTTTTGTTAATAATTTATCAACAATGCCTTGTTAATTAAATTGCTCACAGAGAAGAAGATTTGTTGCACAAAGTCGACTTACGAAACGCAAGGGTCGTGATCGGATACGTTTAAAAAGAGACTGTGCTGGCTCAAGTCGGTGAAAGAGAATCCGGCCGGCGTCTGCAGCGAGCAAAATTAATTGCCGGGTCGGCTGCACAATTAGCGTCGCCGCCGCCGCATCTCGCGGCCGATCGTGAGGGTAATGAGCAAACATGCAGCAATAGTGCAATTGATATTCCAGTGGTGTGTGTGTTGTTGTAACGCGGCTCAAGTGAGCTGCACCTTGCATCTTTAAAGGGCGGCCATAAAAGAGAAACACAAAGAAGGGCCTTTTCGGTTGCCAAACGCATCTATCTATTTATCTCGCATCCGCCCCAGATCGCGCCAGAAGGTGAAGCAACTCTCGCACGCCATAAAACATATCGTCGCTTTGCCGATTAAAGAGCCGCCGCGACGATCGGCCCCTGATTCTTGATAATGATAAGCGGCGTGCGAAGCTACTTATGCAACCCGCCGGGCTCTCTCCCAATGCTCAAATTGCTGCCAATAGGTCGTGCTGTTTGCAAGTTGCAAAATATTGGCAAGAATAAATATTTTCACAAAACACCAATTCTTTAAGTTTCTTACAAATAAAATTATAAATATTTATTTAATGTTATTTAATAAATATATAAGTATTTTTTTGCTTAATTTAAAATAAGAATTATCACAATTTTAATTATATTATCTTTTTTAACACTTTTTGTGAGCGTAATAAAATTTTGCTTTTTTATTATTTACATTTTTTATCATTTCATTTAAAAATACTTTTTTTTAAAACAAATAAATCTAGGCTGATAAACTTTATTGATATATTAATGTTAAAACGTAATTTATTTTCGACATACATGATTGAGGGAATTTTATTATTAGAAGATATTAATGATTACCGCATTTTGCAATAATTTAATTGGGCCTTAATTAATATTAACAAATCATTCAAATAAGGTTATTTAAATAAGAAAATAAAAATAAAATTATCTGTAGAATTTGCAACAAAATTTTTGTAAAGTTGCGGCCTTTTTAATAACCACACTGTATTGAATCATCATTTTTTTCAAAAAATCAAAATTACTAACACTCTTTATCACTTGAATGGTAACACTCGAGGTGGATTTCATGAAAATAGAAACCGGGCGAACCTTTTTGCAAAAAAAAAATGAAAAAATCACAGTATGAAGCTGTTTACTGACTCTTTTGCTTGATTAATTTCTGCAATTTTTGTTTATTAAAATTAAATTTTCCCAATTTTCTTTTTAATTTTTATTAATTCCTCCCACTTAGTTTTAGTTGGGACACGACAAAACCCTAGGTTTTTAAAGTACCAGCAGACCGCAGTTCGCCTTTGGGGTCAGTTGTCCTTTATTTTTTCATTTTTTCTCTGCAACGAGGTTCGCCCGGTTTCTATTTCACTCTTTATCACGTTATATTTAATTTTCTTATGTAATTAATAGAGGAAAATCAAGCAATTTTTTTTAAAAACCTTGGTTTAAAAAAAGTTCAAAGAAGTGTATTATTTGTTTCATTTTTTACAGTGATCGTCTTGCTCCTAACTCAGTTGAGTCGATAAATAAATAATAAATTTTTATTGAAAAAAAGCAATTAATATACTTCTTCAATACAAATTAAATTATTTCAATGAGC